CAATAAGAGATGATCATTACTGGACCTCTAGGAAGAACAGTTTAGAACTAATAGAGCTATCCGGTATAAATAAAGTTAGTTTAGTTTAGGTTTCCTCCTGTAGTAACACTGGTTCAATAAGAGATGATTCTTACTAGACCTCTAGGAAGAACAGTTTAGAACTGATAGAGTTATCCAGTATAAATAAAGTTAGTTTAGTTTAGGTTTCCTCCAGTAGTAACACTGGATCAATAAGAGATGATCCTTATTGGACCCCTAGGAAGAACAGTTTAGAACTGATAGAGCTATCCAGTATAAATAAAGTTAGTTTAGTTCAGGTTTCCTCCTGTACTGTAGTAACACTGGATCAATAAGAGATGATGCTATATACTGGATCTCATCCAGTATAAATAATGCAAAATAAATTTAGTTTCGCTTAAAGTTACTTCAAATACCATCTACAACTGCAATGTGTGTTTTATACATAAATTGTATTAAATATGACTTACAATGGTCATTGAAATAAATACCACTAACAGCATATAAATACATCCAACTGTTTAAACTTTAAATACAAATTATCTATACGAATATTTAAATATAATATTTAAAACTAAACCTAATGTTCAAAACGTGCATGGTGCTATAAAGCATGGTAGACTTTCAAGCGGGCGCGGAGCCGTGTTTTTGCACGTGAAAAAGTATTAATTCTGAATGATATCAAAGGTATTGCAGTTTATGCAAATTAATGATGTATGGCCGATCCAGTTACGCGGGAAGGCCTGGGCTAGGTTAGATATATGGTACAATTTTGATGCTATATTTAAAGGCAAATTCCCAGCGCAATGTAAGGCCTTTGTATATTTACATCTCATATAAAAGAAAACAATTTTTACTAGGAATTTCAAGCTACATACATGTAGGTTGGCAAGCTTTTAATTTTGAAACGAAATTAATGAATAGTATATATGAAGATTGAACCGTGTTTTAGTTTTAAATTTTAGTGAGTGTTTTGAATAGCGCTAACTTAAATTTACTTAAAATATGTTTCTTGCTATTATACTACAGTAGCGTTTATGATTGATAAAAAGTATAGTTGATATGCGTGATATAGACTATACACTGAGCACAGTCAAAAATTGAACATATCATATGGTGCGCAAGACAAATATACAATTCACATATTACTACATAATAATACAAGTGCAAACAGTGTCATTATTCATTGAACAAGCATGCATTGGCATTTGTGAACGATGCTTCGATGTGGAACCTAAGCCAAAGGCACAAATTGCGGTCCAGCCAAAATGTACCTATATTCCTTCTGTTGGCTGCGCATGTTTGATCAAATTAGAAAAATTTGCAACTGACAGGAAGTGATCGTTTAGTTTATAATTGCGCATTATGTTGCGCGTTGTGTTGGTGGACCATTTTTTCATTGTTGTGAAATTTGAAATACATGTCGATAAGATCTGCGATATCCCGACCCTAAAACAAAAAAATTCAATTTCAATGAATATTGCTTTTCAAAATATTTTGTGCCTCATCCTTACCATTATATCTCCAATCCTAATCCTTAAGTTTTCTAGAAATTAATAAGCATGTACTCACAAGTTGCGTTTCAATTCTTGTGACCTTTTGCACCATCAAATTTCCACATTTCAGATCCAGGAATTGTCGTCCTCGTTCGCCAGATATCAGCAATCGCGTTGAAATAATCTCATTGTACGTGAAACTTAGTAGAGTTTCCTGGAACAATAAATTACCATTTAGAAAACCTAAACTAAACTAACTTTATTTATACTGGATAGTTTTATCAGTCCTAAACTGTTCTCCCTAGAGGTCCAGTAAAGATCATCTCTTACTGATCCAGTGTTACTACAGGAGGAAACCTAAACTGAACCAACTTTATTTATACTGGATACCTCTATCAGTTCTAAACTGTTCTCCCTAAAGGTCCAGTAAAGATCATCTCTTACTGATCCAGTGTTACTACAGGAGGAAACTTAAATAAACTAACTTTATTTATACTGGACAACTTATCAGTTCTAAACTATTCTTCCTACAGGTCTACTAAGAGTTTTCTTTAATTAGCCCAGTGTACAACTAAAGGAGAAATCGGAGTGCCCAATTAAAGAAAACCTGTGGTACTTAGTAGAATGAAACTATGAGCACTCTTTTGACTTGGTACTGATCCTAAAATTACAACTGCATGCATATTGCAGGAATGAAACCCTGTTACTGTGTCAGCCCCCCTCCCCGTCTACAGTAATTGGCAATTACGCTGTTGCGGATTCCCTGCCACTGTAATATGTACAAGGCGAATTAAATAATTTGATCTCTATTATAAAAAAACATACAACTATAATACCTTGGTTTGAACGTCCAAAAAGTGAACACCCTCTCTATTAATGACCAGTGTACATTCTCTGCCAACTCTTGGATGAGTACAATGCTGAAACAAGAACATATGAGTATTATCTATCTTAGTTTCTATCGAAATTAAACCAACTCACTGTCGGAAAGAATCCTGAAACATTAACTGGGAATCGAAATGAAGGTGTCTGCACCTAGAACTATATTATAAGAACTATATTATAGCACCATGATACAAAACAACACCGAAAGTAGAGTTTAAATTCTCACCCTTATTCGGAAGAATGTCGAACCAAAGTAGCGCCACTTTTTAACGATATCTACAGAATGTCAAAGAGAAACAGATTTAGATTTCGTAACTTTTATCACACGATAATAATAGTTATAATAATGCAAGCAAGCAATCCTAAGATATTGTTCCTACAAATGTTTGTAAATAGTGTTTCGCTACGAAATACCTTCATCCTAATATTTTGAAATTATTCTCATTAACCTTACCTAAATACTTCTTTTTACTTTCGTCAGGAGAAAGATGGTTGATGGTTTTGTAATGATCTTGAATGAGAACAACCCATTGCGGTGGACGTAGAGTCCTTGAAATGCATGGTGGGATCGAGTCAGCAACGTCTTTCCTAAACGTTGTGGAAAAGCATAAATAAAATTAGTTTAGTTTAGGTGTCCTCCTGTAGTAACACTGGATCAATAAGAGATGATCCTTAATGGACCTCTAGGAAGAACAGTTTAGAACTGATAGAGCTATCCAGTATAAATAAGTTAGTTTAGTTTAGGTTTCCTCCTGTAGTAACACTGGATCAATAAGAGATGATCCTCACTGGTTTAGAACGGATATAATTATCCAGCATAAACAAAGGTTAGTTTTGAATAACTTACAAGTTCGGTTGTTGTCGTTTTCCTTGTAAATGATAATCCAATGCATTCAACAAAGATGCTTCGTTCTGCAGCTGTACATCAAACGATTGACCACCCAGAAGATCACCTGATCTGACATTCGGACTGATTTGATTAAAGAGAAGATCTATCAATTGTTTATTTTCAAACCGGAATCTCTTGAACCAAACAACTCGTCGGAAATGCATGTGATAGTCGATACGCTTGCGATCCAATCTCGAGATTACGTCCATGACGTACTCATTTGCACGAAGTGGTTCCAATGATTTCTCTGAAACCAAAGAGTGAATCGGTCATGCATACTCCTTGTTAACGCATATAAAGTTCAGTTTGTGTTCACACGAGAAAGAGTCAGCCCGGCTAGGTGAGATTTCACCTTGTGCTAGATGAGAGAGATCCTTACTGGTCTTCTAAGGCCTTTGGTCAAGTGGGATAAGTTTCCATATCCATAAACATCACTGTTAAATTTGTCATACAACCAACATTCAATTACAACAAAAATCATTTGCCTCCATGTCCTACCTCGTTCCAAGAAAGTGAAAAGACCGAACTCATTACATTCATCTTCACCAGAGACATTCATTTCTGAACACAGATCTTTAATGACATCATAACCAGTCTAATAAATGAACAAAATTGTGTTAATGTTGTAGCGAAGTGAATATTTATAAGACTCACAAGGTGTCGTTCGAGAGGAGTATGATTGTCTACTATTAAATTACACATGTGAAACAACTTGTAACGAACTTGCAGACGAATTATACCAATGCTGTTCCAACAACTTGTCAACAGGATGTGTTCGCACTGCTTGTTCCCAGCATGTTGACAACTTGTTACAAGGTTGTTGAGCTCAATAGACCTGTTACAAGTTGTTCCAACAGCTTGTTATCGTCCTGCAATTCAACAAGTTGTCAGTGACAACCTTGTAGCAACTTGATGAAATAACAGCATTGATACAAGTTGTTGACAAGCTTGCTACAAGCCTGTTGCGAACACATCTTGTTGACAAGTTGTGAGACTTTTATTCTACTATCTTTTACCACAGGCTAAACTTACACTACAAGTCTGGACTTTCAAAACTTTAGTAATTCCTCCTGGTAAGTAGATAGGTAGCCGTTTGGTGCTTCGTCCTTGCTGTAAACAAAACAACAAAATAACTATTGAGATTTTCAATAAACATTCACTTAAAAGTAAGAACTATTCCCACATTTCATCTTCACGTTAACTCCATGTACATATGTAACGGAAGGTTTGTGATAATCGCCCTCAGGTGAATGGTAATATAAACAAACACGCACCACAAGTTGTTCCATCTCTGCTGGTCCGGGATCTGTTCTTCGTCCTCCATATTTCAAAGTTTTTAGTAAGTTCATTTCAGCCGTGGCAGCCGCACCTGACGAAATAAGATATATCAAACGTGTGGTTCCAGTCTAAGTTGCGTTCTGTTCCGTTCCAATAAAGGTACTCTGCAGCAAAATACATGCACAGGATTTTCGTTGCTCAACTATAAAACAACTTACCATGAAATTCTCGTTTCGGGTCGTTGGAAATCGTCTGCAGGTATCGAACTAAATAAGGTCTGAGGACGTCAGAACATTGAAGATACGCGGAGAGAATGATGAAGAGTCGCCATCCTTTCGCGCGACTGTCACTGAAACGAAGACATGAAGTATTAGAAAAACATAGATCATGACTCATTTGTTTTGGTGCAAGCGGATGTCAGGCATATGTCGTCCTATGGACTTTAGAAGGCCACATTTTAATAGACAGCCATGGATGGGTAATGTTGTTATCGTCCTGCAATTCAACAATTTGTCAATACATTGTTACAACTTGTTGACAAGGTTGCTATAAGCCTGTTGCGAACACATCTTGTTGACAAGTTGTGAGATTTTTACGTGTGTAGATGAGCTTTTTGTATTAAATTTAACTCTTAGTTAGAGCACAAACAAACGGTTGGAGTAAAGTGTACTTACGATCTATTGCTCTTGTTACTCGTCACTTGTTTGATGAGCTGACAGTAAACTTCATCCTTTAATTCAGGATACTCACGACAGGTCTAAAATGGCGCAACAAGCCTGATTGTTTAGCAATATAGCGAAGAAATCAAGGGACATAAAGCCCAGAGTCAAACAGGAATGAGAGTTGACGAGACTCTCATCGACTTTTCAAATTTTGATGATGATGATGAGTTTTCGCTACGCGCGCATATCCTGTCAACTCTCATCAACTCTTATGTAACTGTTGTTCTCGTTTGACCGGGGCATGAGAGTTGAGAAAACTTCTCATGCAAACTCTCGCTTGCCAACTCTCATTCTCGTTCCGGATCGGGGCTTGGCGTTGAAACTAAGGCGCACGCCTCACGCTACCCTAAATTGACCCTGGACAAAAGTATTCCAAACTAATTTATTTTGAAATTAATTAAATAACAACACTATACATTGCGTACTTATAGTCTTAGATTTCAACTTACCAGCAGGAGGAAAAATACAAGGTCTGGTGGAGTTTCTCCCCTAATCATAACGTAATCTCCCATATACTTCATAATAGCTGCAATGAAACGTTATGGGTTTCAGAAGATAGCAGTGAACGAAAATTTACTGAAGACCAGCTTAAACGACTGCTGACGCCATTATCCCTGTTCATCAGCTTATGGCAAAAATTTGGGCATGTAGTAAAACACTGACTACCGGAACACCGGAACACCACCGGAACACCACCGGAACACCACCGGAACAACGGAACACCACCAATTTGTTTGGGGTTAGGGTTTGGGGTTAGGGTTAGGGTTAGGTAGTGTTCCGGTGGTGTTCCGGTAGTCAGTGTTTTACTACATGCCCAAAATTTGAAATGTGTCATCTTTACACGCATTTAGTACACACGCCTGGGTAAGAATTGTATACGACCATGCGACCGTATCGTGTAGACGAGCCTTTTAGACGGAATTTTAGCCTGAACATCAGGTTATCTTCCCTTCCTTAAATGCGTGTGGATGAAACAAAACTTGATATTTGTGTTGGTGTAATGTACTCAGGTGAATAAGATGCTTGTGATGTTACTCTGAGTGTAAACAAAACTTATCTCCTCATAGTGGTCTAATATCAATCTAACTTGATTCCCTTCTACATTATTAACACTGGATCAGTAAGAGGTGGGCCTTACTGGACCTCTAGAAAGAACACTCTTCACAGTGACACAGCTATCCAGTATAAATGAAGTTAGTTGCGTTTTGTTTATAAACACCGATATGAACGCAAATGGGCAACATACGGAAGTTGATACGATAAAGTAAGAGTTAATTAAATAATATAATTTAATCGACACACATACTTATAAATGATTCCAAAGCTTTCTTGTTGTGAAGTGAGGAATCGAGTTTCAGTAAGGATGCCTGGATTGGAGACTGTACAAAAATAAATCAGTATTAGATGAATAAAACGACGGACTAAAATTCGACGATAAAAACAAGGCAGGAAGGAAGGAAGGAAGGAATGAAGGAAAGAATTTCAAAAAACAGACATACTTTTGAGAATTTGACAAGGTCAGCTTGATTCTTCCATGTCCATTCGTCGTCCCTACGATTACCTAAAAGACGCCAACAATATTTTAAATTTCGGATTAGCTGCAGAAGCTTTCAATGTATCATCACTGAAAACGGAGTGCAATCTCTACCTTTAAATGCTCTGCCAATGGAGTCCATGATTTTAATTGTGCCTCTGATGGAGCCATCTTTCTTTCTCTGCATTATATACCTGGATTGAAATAACTCGCGTTAGTTCAACAATACAATGGATTAGAGTAAAGCACAACACAACACAACACAACACAACACAACACAACACAACACAACACAGTACAATACAGTAAAACTGATTACAATATAATATGATACAGTACAATAAACTACCATGCAATAAAATACAGCACAGTACATCTGGTGCACAGCAAAGAAAAGCACAGTAAAGCACATAAAAGCACAGTACAGAAGAGTACAGTACAGTACAGATTTGGTAGAAAACACTTATAAGGCTTACATGTCGTGGCCGAATCTGAAATACTTCATAGCAAACTCCAACATGGAGTATCGTCCGTCTTGCAATGATGAAGTAGAATGATCACTGTGGACCGAGTTTGGAGTAGGAGCCCTGGGGATAGAGCCAGAGGTTGATGACCTCGTGCCAGGTTTCGAGATTGATGGCTGACGCTGAAAAATTGAATAAAATAAGCAAAAAATAAGCAGAGAGAAACAGGCTGGGTAAGGGATGTGAGAAGAGTGTAACCAGGTTGACTCTATCGGGTACTCAGTTTTTCTCCTGTAGTAACACTGGATCAATATGGGATGCCATTTACTGGACCTCTAGGAAGAACAGTTTAGTCTTTAGAACTGATAGAGCTACCCAGTATAAATAAAGTTAGTTTAGTTCAGGTTTTCTCCTGAAGTAACACTGGATCAATAAGAAATGATCCTTACTGGATCTCTAGGAAAAACAGTTTAGCACTGATAGAGCTATCCAGTATAAATAAAGTTAGTTTAGTTTAGGTTTCCTCTTGTAGTAACACTGGATCAATAAGAGATGATCCTTCCTGGAGAACAGTTTAGAACTGATAGAGCTATCCAGTATAAATAAACTTTACAAGAATGTCTTCTACGTTTAAACACAACCCACCTCACTCATGTCCGTGACATACTCGGCCGGGAAATATCCTTCACTAGATCTCAGTTCTCCATAAAGCCATCCGTCCGAGAGGTTGCCCTTAGCAACCAGTTTGATGACGTCACCTTGCTTGAAGCTCAGTAAGGTTGATTCGTTCGTGATGTAGTCATACTTGGCTTTCACGTATTTCGAGTCCTGAGGAATAAAGGGATACATTGATGAGCAAAATCAAGTCACATTAGCAAGGTTTAGAAACTCGTATGCCATCATAGTCTATCGTTTTTAGAATACCTTTTCGTGAACAAAAGCCAAATAAGGATCAATTACTTTTTTCACTAGAGTTGCCTGAATTGAAAGAATAAAAGAAAAGAAAACAAATTATTACTACACACAACAGATGAAAAACAAAATTCAAACAGTTGAAAACAACAACTGAAACTCAGCGGTGTAATGGAGCTCAGAGGGGCTAAGCCACAACTGTGCCCCCCTCCCCCTGTTATAAAATATCCTTTCAGTTCGGAAGTGTTATCACGACAGAAATAATCTTTGGTAATATGACAACTGTAGTGTTGTTGACACACCCCTCTCATGATTGACATATTATAAAACAGTAGGAGACAATGGGATTATTATTGAATGCAATGTGATAGCGTAGGAAAGCAAGAAATAGAATATACGTTTAAACTCAACAACAACTTTTTGCCAATTTAGTAAGATTTCAAATCTATTTCTATTTAAATTTTGAAGGATGCTAATTTTCCTTATATTCAGATTGACATTTGACTAATGAGTCCTGTAGTGATTGTAACATCATTAAAATTCCTGGAAATCGTATTTCAGAAATCTACTGCTGAAACTTACTTTGTCAGTGAATATGTGTATCTTCTTGACCCTCGTTTTGATCGTCAGTTTGTCGTTGTTCACTCGAACTTTGGTCATATCACCATACCTGACAATATGAAAATACTGTTAAAGTGGTGCTGATGGAGTGCATCTGTCAGATCTGGATTCAATTTCCATATCCTAGTAACACTGGATCAATACGAGATGACCCTTTAGATATAATAGTTTAGAATATAGAATAGAATAGTTTAGGAAATGATAGAGCTACTTACAAATATTTCTCAACAGTTTCTAGTTCATTCGTAATTCTCTCTCTCTTAATAAACTGCACTCCAGTGTGAGAAACTGCGATGTACTGAAAATCAATGCTATCGTTTTGTTTCTAAAAGAAAGAAACTAAAATTTAGTATTCTGTTACGGGAGGAGCGAGTTATATGTTCTTCTTAAAGTCTTGAGTAATTCAACATAAATATGAACAAAATGCAAACAGAATCAGCGCCATATAAACCCCTTGTATACCATTACAAAGAAGCCAAAGCAATAAGTGACTGGACGGCAAGGAGAACAGCGAGATTTTGAAAACAATGAAAAGACAATGGAACATTCCGATCACTGGATCTGGACTGAATAGCACTAGAGAAATATTATATTTACTTGACTTACCGAAACTTTGAAAAATCTACAGAAGTAGTATGGCAACTGCTTCGCAGCATCAATAATAATTTCTTCAATCGGCGAACTGGTGCTGGTCTTGTCGGGATAAATACCATATTTTTCTAAAGGTACATATGATAGTCAAAACAAAGGCTTTCATTGGAGAGAATAACTACAATAGATGTTAGCAAAACAATATAGCCTCACAATCTCGTCTCAGGCCACTTTTCGCGCCGTTATAAGTCTGGTTTACACTATCAAAGTTTCTGTGACCACAGTAAGAATTTTGCATGGGTAAATTCTAAGTTTTGAAGAATTTGCAAGAAATGTTTGAGGGGACTAACTCACTGTTAAACACTGAATGAGTTCCCTCAAACATGTAATATTTACAATACTACTGTATTTCCAGTGTTGCGAACACGAGCTGTCGATAAGCGGACGTTTGATCGCGGTGTCTCTTGGGAAGAGTCTAGTCAAACTTACCAAGCAATTGTTTCATTGTATATCTGTCAGTTCTCGACATTCTACAGGAGCAGGTTTTATAGGTATCCCACACAATCTACGTAAAATATTAAAGAAAGGGTTTTGTAGATAAACATATGTTAGCTCTAACCACGAGCACTTGTGAAATATGTGAGCAATCTCACAGGAATCGAACCTGCTGGCCAGGGTTTTCGGGTCGGTGTTTTCAGAGTCGCTGTTTTTCAGGCTCGGGGTTTTCAGAGTCGCTGTTTTTCAGGCTCGGGGTTTTCAGAGTCGCTGTTTTTCAGGCTCGGGGTTTTCAGAGTCGCTGTTTTTCAGGCTCGGTGTTTTCAGAGTCGCTGTTTTTCAGGCTCGGTGTTTTCAGAGTCGCTGTTTTTCAGGCTCGGTGTTTTCAGAGTCGCTGTTTTTCAGGCTCGGGGTTTTCAGAGTCGCTGTTTTTCAGGCTCGGGGTTTTCAGAGTCGCTGTTTTTCAGGCTCGGGGTTTTCAGGAAAACCTGAAACTGGAAATTCTTACCTGTCTAAAGACGAGATGCTGTGTCAATTCACTGCTCATTTTCTCGTTTGCCATAAATAACTATAACATGAAGAAGTATTTCAGGATATTAAGTAATAATAATAATATAGTTTTCTTCACACAGTCATGGATATAGAACAGTCCAACTGAAGTTTATGAACAAACTTTCGTTGATAAGGATGCAACTACCTGAAAAATATAAGGAGAATTTCGACCAGGGTTCGTAGTCTCCAAGACCAAAAATATTCAAAGACTTTCAAAGATTTTTTCTGCCTATTTTCAAAGATCTTTGAGAACAATCAGCTGTCGTAGGCACCGTAAGCACCATTTTTGCCCAGTGATTAGTCCCGCCACATCACATCTTAAAATGTACCTTTTCGTCGATATTTGCGAAAACCTTGCTCTTCAATCAATCTATTTTATTAGCTATAGGAAATCGTATAATCAAATACTCACTAAATAATTAATTTTAAAGACTTTTTAAGACTTTCTTCGCTTTTTCACACAATTCAAAGACTTTTCAAAGACCTTAAAGACTTGCATTCAAATTCAAAGACTTTCAAGGATTTCAAAGACCGCTATGAACCCCGTCGACGTTTCGAGCTTCGTCTGGAGTTAACTCTCCTTATATTGTTCAGGCACTGCTGGCCACTATCTACACTGGCAAAGACAACTGTGAATTTTACACACGTTATTGTCTGTTTCGACAAAAAAAACCATTTTGCGTGCAAGTGATTTTTAGACTAACCAAAGTGGAACTAAATCTAAACTAACAGCATGGAGGCAGTCTTCTCACATAGACTGAGGGAGAATTAGATAACTGCAAACAAAAAACCCTCAAACAGTGGCAAAACTAGTCATGGAAACTGGTCATGCTATGCTAATAAACCTGCATCTAAAGCCCCGTTTACACTACGCCCAATTTTTGGTACCGTATCACTTTTTTGGTTCTTGAACTACCCAAATAGGTAGTCCGAGAACCAAAAAAGTGGCACGGTTCTAAATAGGTTCTTGGACTACCTAAAAAGGTAGAGAAGAGATTATTTCGCTGGCCTCAAAGTGATAAAACGTAACAAAGCAACGGTTTTACTAACACTAACCCTTCTCCAAACACCAACTCTAACCCTAATTCTAACCCTAACCCTAACCTAACCCTATGCCAAATTTGTTTCTAAACCAATCTTGAAGAAAAAAGTTTTGACGAAATGTCATTCTGAGGTCAGCGAAATAGTTGATGCCATGTTAGTGCGTCTACATACCTCTTTCCGTAGGAATAATTTCCACTTGACGTTTTGATACGTCAAATAGGGTCCAGTACACTTCCGGTAGAGCTCAGTCCTTCCGCCTTTCTCGGTCATTACAACCGTAAATGAGGTCGTGGCTAGTTCCCCATGATTTGGCATGTGATAGATTTTGATGGGCGTATGAGATGAAGGTCTTTGAGTGTGTACAGCCAGAACTACAGACGCCGCCCCACCGTCTGGCTTAGACTTCAGTATAGGGCCATCAACGTATTCCACGTTTACCACGGGGGGTGGGGGCGCTGCTGAAACAGTTGTGTTGCGTGTAGGTTGTGATGGTGGAATGGGATGTCTGTCTCTGAATTCTGAAGGGGGAAGAACGTCACTTTTTTGTTTGAGGAATGAGCTAGAATGCCCCATGTGGAGTGGGTGGCTAGAATGCCCCGTGGGTTGAAGGTTACTAGAGAGCCCCGTGTGGAGAGGGTGGCTAGAATGCCCCGTGTGGATAGGGTGGCTTGAAAAACGACTGGCTTTGGTTGATAAATAATCGGAGCCATTAGATTGAGTCCATGAGGGATTTTTTGTAGGTGGGGAGTATTGGGTAGGGCGTGTACTTTGGCTATGTTGTGGGAGTTCTTGTTGGGTTTGGGTAGCATTTTGTTGCTGTTGTTGGTGTTGGTGGTATTGCTGTTGTTGCTGCTGTTCTTTACGTTCTTGCTCTAACTGTTCTTGTTGTTTACGTTGTTTTTCCAACTGTTGCTGCTGCTTTTGTTCTAATTGTTGTTGTTGTTGCTCGCGTTTCAAAGTGTCTAATTTATCTGCAAGTTTCGCCAGTTCTGCTTGTCGCTCGGCTAATTTTCGTTCCTGTTCTTCCAATTTCCGCTGAATGCCGACTTCTTCATGGTTTGGTTGGTAAACATGTTGTTGTTGTTGTTGTTGTTGTTGTTGTTGTTGTTGTTGTTGTTGACGGCTAACCGGAACGACAATAGGCATTGTTTGAGGGACACCTTGTAAGGTCATGCCGCTAGCCATAGGGTACTGCATTGGTACATAGCCATTCATTCCTGGAAATAAATGCAGGATTATTTAAGATTGTGCATTTCTTGTTGACCAAGTTTCGCATTTCGCCGCCAACTCTCATCGACTCTCGTTGACTCTCATTAATTTTCATCAACTTTTGTTCTTCATGCAACTCTTGTTCTCGTTTGACCGGGGCATGAGAGTTGAGAAAACTCTCATACAAACTCTCGCTTCTCAACTCTCATCAACTCTCATGCAACTCTTGTTCTCGTTTGACCGGGGCATGAGAGTTGAGAAAACTCTCATACAAACTCTCGCTTCTCAACTCTCGTGTAACTCTTGTTCTTGTTTGACCGGGACACGAGAGTTGAGAAAACTCTCATGCAAATTCTCGCTTCTCAACTCTCATCCTCATGTTTTTAAGAAGGACTCCTAACTACCACCCTACCTGCTGGCATGCCAGGAACAAAAGGTTGATACTGAACACCAGTTGTTGGTATCATTCCACCATTAGCCATACCATTGTTCAACAGCACGAAGGTCGGACCATTCACTCCTGACTGCATTCCACCATTAACGAAGGTTGGTTGCATACCACTGCTCGAGGTCGGGGGTGGACTAGAGGCCTGAGGCGAGCCTACTGTTCTAGCTCGGTACATCTTTCCACCACCTTCAAAATATAAATGGGAAAAGGTTTAATTATTAAGGAAGGTTAAAATCGGGTTAAACGCTACCCTTTCCCACCGTGTTAGTCAAAATACAGAACGTGTCCCACTACCGTTTCTGCAGTCTATACTTTTTTCTTATTTCCATACTGTTACTGATTCATCAGCAAATGCCGCAATGAAATTTAAAATTGCTACAAACTATTTATACATACAGTATATTATCATTAATGTCATTTATCAATATAGCTACATATCATTTATGTAGCTATATTTACCCAATCCCGTATCCAGAGCATGCCCGTTCGCAGGTTAGGCTATGCTCACCGGCACACCGGCCTAACCTGCGAATGTGCATGCTCTGGATTGATATTTACCAAAATTAACGTACCTTTAATAGACCGTGACAAATTATACGAGTCGGTGAGATCGTCCATATTCGAAGATAAAACCGGATTAAACAGGTTATCAACAAAGTCATTCAGTCCTCGTTCCGTCGTAGGAAGCTCCGGGGAGAGTACTTGGTTTGCATGCGGGGGCTGGGAACCACTGTGGTAGATTTGAGCTGAGAATGTCTTCTCGCGTTCCTCAGGCACCGCCCACGATTTCCTCACACGCTGTGCTCTCGCTTCCAGTTCACTCGCGGCCAGCACAGAGTTGCCAGGACCAGTCCTCTCCGCGCGACGGAGTTCCAATTTCATCTCCTCGTCATCCCACGTTTTGCTCATGCGCTGTGCGCGTTTTTGAACAGCACCTTCAAGGGACAATATCAACATCAGTTCAAAACCACAAGAAATTTTGCACGAATTTCCAGGGTTCTCGCAACCAAATTTTCGAATTCCTTTGCATAAACTAAAGAGGTTAGTTTACTGTTTACACTATCAAAAGTTTCTGTGATCACAGTAGGAATTTTGCATCGGTAAGTCTAGGTTTCAAAGGATTTGTAAGAAATGTTTGAGGGAACAGAGCTCGTGTTCAATACTGAGTCAGTTCCCTCAAACATTTCTTACAAATCCTTCAAAATTTGTAATTTTCCCATGCAAAATTTCTACTGTGATTACAGAAACTTCGATAGTTTAAAGGATACACGAGTTTTTCGTTCGAATACTCGCCTATCGCCTGGTTGTGTCAGAGTTGGGCTACCTGTGCCCGTGTGCGCGTCTGCGCACTTCATGTCTTATCCCATACCTGTGTTAAAAGCGGCTTTCTGATTGGTTTAGAGCAGGTGAGCTTGTCGTCGAGCTCACCTGCTTTTTGCCGAGCTCACCTGCTTTTCGCCCGAACTCACCCGCTAAACTGCTTACGTTGCAATAACAATAACAAATATGGCGGACAAGATTTAGCCGATAAACCTAAACTTTAAAGAACTTTTTTCGGTGACTAACATACTGAGACTGAAGAAAAACCAAAGAAAAATGCAGTAAAGGTAATGTAGACGTAGATAAAGAAGTATTTTCTTGCCCAGTGATTTTTTTGGCCGGGAAAATGTTCACAAAACATCGACGAATATATCGCGAAGAGCTACAAATGTGTGTATGGCTCGGTGTATGGGATAAAAACCAAACGTACTTGCAGGTTCGGTGAGTCCGGGATTGGACGCACCTCGGGTGGCTGGAAGTTTCCCGAACTCACCTCGCTTCGCTCGGTAAGTTCGGGAAACTTCCAGCCACCCTCGGTGCGTCCAATCCCGGACTCACCTCCCTGCAAGTACGTTTGTTATAGAGTTGTTGTGTGTGTTATGTGAGATAAAAGATTGATAATATATTAAAACATTTTATAACGTGATAACGCCTTGGTTTCTACCTTGAAGCTCAGACTGATATGCCAACTTCAATCGTTGTTCTTTCGGAACTGCCCGTAACTCGGAGGCTTTTTTGATTTTCTGGTCGATAACATCTTCGGGATTCATCGGACGGCCGTCGACTTCGCTCGTACGATTGTCTCGCATGGTGGTCGCTTTTCTTCGGATTTCGTCTAGCGAGTGAGCCGAAACAGGGGCAGCCCTCTGCGCTCGTTTGTTCTGTTCTTCTTTTACTTGCTTGATTCTCGTTGCCATGGGGTCCTGTATGGGTGGTGGGGGTGGGGGTGGGGGTGGAGGAGGGATATACAGGGATGTACCTAAAATATAGAAATTTTAGATAGATTTCTGTGTATTTGCATGGAGTTTTCTCCCGCCAGCCGAGATGAAATTATAACATAATGCAGTTCATCATGGCTTTAACAATGTACATAAATGGAAGGCGAATTTCATTTTGAAGACCTTGAATTCACTTCGAAGTTAAATTTCATTTTGAAGACCATGAATTCACTTTGAAGTCAAATTTCAATTTTGAGGACCATGGATTCACTTTGAAGTTAAATTTCATTTTGAAGTACATGAATTCGCTTTGAAGTTAAATTTCATTTTGAAGACCATGAATTCACTTTGAAGTTAAATTTCATTTTGAAGACCATGAATTCACTTTGAAGTTAAATTTCATTTTGAAGTTGAATTTCATTTTGAACTTAGAAGTTGAATTTCAATTTGCAGTTGAATCTCATATAACTGGTTCTCATGTGAACTTCTCCTGGTTACAGTAGCTCTTCGAGTGTCGATACTCAAAATCCTGTAATTAATCTATGCTCTAGTACGCTATGTTTACTATTTCTACATACCTGGAGGTACATGGTTCACATTGGGAGGGGGGTAAGGGGGTGGACTAGGGGGTTTCGGAATAAAAGGTTCAGCCTCAGATACGCGTGTAGTGGTATATACTGAGCTATCAATATTTGCCCTGGAGGTCGTAGGTTGTACAGGGACGGGAGGAGGGGGTGCTTGGGGTGGCGGGGGGATGTGAACCAGGCCCTGGGATCGAGGTTGGATGTGAACAACTTGTGGTGAGACGGGTGGAGCGGGAATAACTTGGGTAAATCTCTTGTCAGTAAGGGGTACACCGTCAGGAAGGTCGATACTATAGTCTCCATCAATGAAAGTTTTTGAAACGTCCGCAAATGTTTGCTTCCTGTCGCGTTGTTTATGAAGACTGAAAATAATAAGTTGACAAATTGATAATTTACCTACAGTAACAATAAACTAAACTTTATTTCAACAGGATAGTTCTTTTAGTTCTGTTTAAATCGTAAACCTCTATAAAGGTTCATTAATCCAATCTAAACTAAGCTCACTTTATTTATTTATGTAACTAACTTTATTTATAGTTGGTGGACGCAGTGGGACTTAATGGATGAGAGAAGGATTTATCAAGGCTCAAGCTCGATACAAAGCAAGATTACAAGAGAAAAAATATGCAAAGGTCAGTAATAAATGTTGATAGCAAATATCCTAACAGACAGGAGGAAACCAGATAGCTCTATCATTTCTAAACTGTTCTCCCTAGAGGTCCACTAAGGATCATCTCTTATTGATCCAGTGTTACTACAGGAGGAAACCTAAACTAAACTAACTTTATTTATACTAGATACTGTAGCTCTTATTGATCCAGTGTTACTACAGAAACAAACAGTAATTAACAAACTTTTAAACTATTATTAAGACAACATATACAATTTCTACTGCTTAACATTATTTTCCATTTTTAATTCTGAAATAATATCAAGAAGAAAGGTCGACTCACTCGTCTAGTTGTTGTATCTTATTTGGTCCTACATTGTACGACATATCAACAGAGATGACCGAGGGCGAGCAAGAGACTGGGAACAAGGGTGGATATTCCAGTTCAGCGATCAAGTCCATGGCGTAATCTGATCCAGCCAATGAATAATGACAATACTCGTTAATCATATCGAGACTCCAGCCACCTTGGTATTCCACAACCCCCCTGAAAATGAACAGGTATTTATTTAAATGTGGTTGCGTAATCTCGTATTTTGTAGCAAGCCAACAAGTTGTCTTCGCACTGCTTGTCCTAAGTTGTCGACAGGTTTGGAACAAGCTGTTAACAACTTGTAACAACCTTGTTGATATTATCAGACTTGTTGCAAGGTTGTTCCAACAAGTCCGATACAGTCATGATATAACCATATTGTTACAACTTTGTGTCGTGAACCTTGTAACATTCTTGTTATATCATGACTGTATGATAATGCCATCAAGCTTGTTACAAGTTGTTAACAACCTGTTCCAAACTTGTTGCAACAACTGGGATTTATATAGCAAAGCATTCGATGTCGTACGGATCATATTCAATGCAAATAATATAAGACTACGCTTTAATTCACACGTTTTTTTAATACTGAAAAGCGTTAATCTTCAAGTAATGTGCAATTTCAACTTACTTTTCTTTTAAAATTTTTGCAGCTACTTGATCGCCAGTACTGGTTGAGTTCACTTCAATCAAAACTTTCTCACCTGAAATAAACAAAATACACACACGAGCTTGTGATGTTACTCTGAGTGTAAATCCACACAGGGCAAGCTTGAAAAATATGCCTGGCCACGGTAGGTTCGATTCCCACCGTGGCCGGGCATATTTTTCAAGCTTGTCCGGTGTGGATATACACTCAGAGTAACATCACAAGCATCTTATTCACCTGAGTACATTACACCAACACAGAAAAAAATTACATACAAGAGATGATCTCAAAAAGTTGTAAGTTAATAAGATCTGTAGATGAGAATTCCGAGTGTGATTTTTATACATTTTTTCGAGCTAAGCAGGAGCAGTTACAGACCCTCCGGCAGGAATCGAACCTGCAGCCCTGCGATATAAGTTGCTGGCCAACAGGCTTTTAGCCAGGGTCCTGAAAGAGGGCGTCCAATTTTGGTATAACGAAACATCTACAGTAAAGAGGGGGTTCGAGAAAACGTTCCTCTGGAAAACCTTTGAAGTTTACATTACTTCATGTCAGTATCTGTTCCAAGTTCGTTCGAAATTTTCAAACACACTTGGCTTTGTGAGTTTGTGCCGCTATGCTTCTTTACTTCCAGGTGATCTCGTGTTCGTATTTTAGCCAATCAGCGCTCAGAAAGGGTTGTCCGAATAGAAATCCATTTTGATGTATTCAGTCAATTATATCTTTCATTATTCTTTATGAAAGTAGTTGAAATTTTGTAATTATGTTTGGTTATGAGAACTATAGCTCTGACAAAAATATGGAATCGAAATAAAGTATATTACAGGAGATATTCAGTTGTTTTAATCATAAAATGGATTTCTATTTGACAACTAGTGCCAGTACTTTTCCGCGTATCAAGATCATCTGGTTAACTACGACATTTTCATTCAGCCAGGTACACCATCAAATTGATCAAAATGTCAAATGTATAATAATAATGAGAATTGAAGCCAATTCGTTTCAGAGATAATTTGGGCGTCCAAAGGCGTCCGCATTTCGTTCTAGGGGCGTCCCAGGACGCCTGGACGCCCTTCTGGCTAAAAGCCTGGTGGCCAAATATCCGTTAACATGGATGTCTGGGGGGGGGGGACTAATCAGTATAATGTGAAAATTTCTGTTGTTTTATCAACTTACCATCGGCAGAGTTAATTTCGACGGCCATATTTGCCTTCTGTTTGATAGCAGCCCACTCGAGTAAAGATGGCGGGTGAGAACGAGTGGTTATATGGCGTTGTTTATCCCAAGACAACAATTTATGTTGACAAACATTCTTGAAACCATCGTAAGCATTGTCTGAACAGTGTCTGCGAGAAAGAAGAGAAGTGAATTAAGGCATCAAGTAAACCAGTATCGAAACATACGTTGGACTGTTGCTAACACAGTCGTTTGTGCATATGTCTATATCTGGGATTGAGTCCTGTCGAACTGATCATAATATCACCGTCAGACACTATATCAAACACCACATGTTATCGTCAGGTTTGTCCTGTTGTAACAATGGAGGACAACAGATGGCTCTTACTGGACTTCTAGGGAGAACTGCTTGGAACTGATACAACAATAAAGTGCAAATAGAGTTAGCTTAGTATAGGTTTCGTCTTGTAGTAACACTGGACCAATAATGGATGATCCTTACTGGACCTCTAGCCGGGCTCTAGGGAGAACAGTTTAGAACTGATAGAGCTATCCAGTATAAATACATTTAGTTTGGCTTAGGTTTCCTCCTATGGTAACACTGGATCAATAAGAGATGATCCTTACTGCACCTCTAGGAAGAACGGTTTAGAACTAATTTAGATTTAAGTTAGATTTAAATGAAATGAACTCTTGGACAGAAACGTGGCGTATGAAATTTAATACAAATAAATGTAAAGTTATGAGGTTGTCGCGAAAAAAAATCCAGTCGCACGTGAGTGATTACATATTGGGACACGAATCTCTCGAATTGGTAAAAACCACCAAAGATCTTGGAATAACTGTGAGTGACGATGTTCGTTGGGGGAAGCATATTGCAGAGATTACGGCAAAAGCAAATCGAACACTCGGGTTGATCAAAAGAACCTGCAGAGATTTTGAAGATCAAACTGTCAGGAAGCTCCTCCACCTTACATTGGTTCGGCCGCAGCTGGAATTTTCATCAGAGTTGTGGTCCCCGTCAGAAGTAAAATACCAGCTTATGTTGGAAGCGGTGCAACGACGAGCTACAAAGTTTATTTTAAATTATCCTGACACTGGATATAAAGAACGTTTGATAAAACTTAACCTTCTACCACTTGATGTCAGGAGAAGTATGAAAGACTTGTTATTCTTTCATAAATGTAGAACAGGTCTATTGGATATACATTTACCAGATTATGTACAAAGTCGACTTGCTCCTAAATATAACATTAGGTCACATGACGTGAATAATTTCACTGAATTTAAATGTAGAACTGAATATTTTAAAAACTCGTACTTTCCTCGAGCTGTGACAATGTGGAACTCGTTAGATAGTGATCTCAAAGCAATTGACAGCTCTAGTATTTTTAAGTCTAGACTTCTTAAGAAATTTTATATAGAACTTAATGTTTATGAACTGCCACATAAGTAGTTTGCAGAGTGTTCCACTAGTTGTTAATATGTATATATAAATACATAGTAGCAAATGTTAGGTATATACAAACTCTTTAATAGGTTTTTAAATTGGTAGTCATGTTCAATTGGGGCAATGCCCTGTTTGGCCACCAGTTGTTTTTTTAACTAATTACTACATTCTTGTATTTAGCAGTATATATAGTAGTGCTTGGATGATGCAAGTGTGTATGGTTTTTCTTCTAAAGCAACAAAGTTATTAAACTAACTAACTAAACTAATAGCGCTATCCAGTATAAATAAAGCTAGTTTAGCTTGGGTTTCCTCCTGTAGTGACACTGGGTCAATATACTTACTTTAATAAATATTTCTCCATGGTTTCACTGGGTCTAAAACAGCTCATACACAAAGCAAGCAGACACCAGCCACGATCCACGCTCGCCTCGACACCATTCCCCCAAGTCTGGTTCACCAACTGAGTAAAGATCTCATCTCGTAAACTTGGGCTTCTGATGCCCTAAAATCAAGGCGTATACATGTAAGAATAAGGTACAAGAAACCCGATGCAAAATTAGAGACAAAATCGGATCACACTATTTTTACTTTCGGAAAAGGAAACTTGGTCGCTGCGAAAATGTTTGAAGATCCGCATTGGTCGATAGACTGTATATTCATTTTTAATTCTCTTTCTTTTACGATTTTTGAAAGCTAATTTTTCACACCGGGATCTGACAATAACGTTAAAATAGCTTTTCAAACCTTTTGAACGATATAGTTTCCAACAGCGAACTCTCGCGCTCCCAAAATTGACCAGTCACTCATGAAACGCAGAATCTAAAATACAAAACATGTCACACGCACAGATATGGCTGCAGCGTGCTCTTCGCATCATAAACTGTAATCCAACTACACACATAAAAACGCACAAGTTGTTACAGGTCTGCAGACAAGTTGTTACAAATCTGTTCACAAGCTGTCGACAAGTTGTGTTCGCACTGCTTGTTCCCAGTTGTTGTAACAAGTTTGGAACAATGGCATTATCAGACTTGTTACAAGGTTGTTGTAGCAAGTCTGATACAGTCATGATATAACAAGAATGTTACAAGGTTGACGACACAAGGTTGTAAAAATATTTTTACATCATAGGGCCAACAGCGTTGTTCTTAGAGAGTAACTCATCAGTACTCACCAGTTTGAAAGTAGTAACAGCTTGTGCCGTGTCTTCCAGCTTCAGTTTTAAAAACGAGTTCCGGATGGGAACCTTTGTAAATTTCCATTCTTTTTGATCCTAAAAAATAGAAAAGAAACACTAAATTGTTAAAAGAAAATGAAGCACATTTCGCACGAAAACAGGGGTGGTTCCAGCCAATAAAATTGTCACACATTAAGGAAAATCATCGAGTTTCTCAGCAAGAAGAATGAAATTATCGTTAGCCTTAAAAATGTAATAAAGCTACTCGAAAAAGTTTGAGTTCATTGAGTTTGAGTTTATTGAGTTTATTGAATTTCTCAATCATTGGTGAGCGGATTTCCCACCACTAGACTATTGCCTAATTAATAGGGATCCAAGGTACCTACGATTTAACGTCGTTATCCGAGAAGACGCGAAAGTCTAACCATTTACTGATGTCAATGTAAAGGTAGCTCTCTCGATCTCCTCAATTACTTTAAGAGCTTGAGTAGAGGTCCGAGCAAGGATTGAACCTGGGTCTCCCAGTTTAAAAGGCAAGCGTGCTGACCACCACACTACAAGTGATGGTTAAAGCTAATCCCTTGGCAAAATTAATGTAAGGTTCATCAAGGTTGTAACCCCCCCCCCCCCCATGGCCCCTGTTCATATTACAATGTGGCCGCATCTCGTGGTTCACTTTATACTTTACAAAGTCGGTGAGATTTATATCGCCGCTTCAAATTTTTGCCCGCAAGCAAATTTTGCCCGCTAATCTAAAGGCGACGCCTGTGGAGGAGGCTAATTACAATGTAAAGCATTACAAACCTGAAAGTAAAGATGAGAAAATTTCGAAAACTTGAAAGCATCCACGTCATCAGGCAGGTGTGATGAACGATAGTTATGTTTGACAACTTCGCTTGACGCTGAGACTACTGACTTTTGTAACGTCGCGAACTCCCAGGCTACATTAACAGATCAAATATCTAAATTAACTTTTGGTAATTGGGGTAATTAGAAATAACGCAATTTTGAAACTTATATCTTCAATGAACAAAACTGTGTAGTTTTTTTAATCTACCTGGTAATTTCGTGATAACCAATGCTAAATCAGTCGTGATTTCAAGTTGAGTGACATCAACGTGAACTCCTTGATCTCTATCCTGTCAAGAAACAAACACTTCGCGTAAAAAACTAAGGTTAAGCCGGTTTTCCACAAGCGACTTTTTTCGCGCGAAGCGAGCTTTTTCCTTTGTCGGCATCCATTTTGCTGACGTACTGTAATAAGTGACACTGACAAAGGAAAAAGGTCGCCTCGCTCGAGAAAATTCGCTAGTGGAAAACCGGCTTTTACCTACTTATCTAGTGGACTCATACTGTACTAGACAAAATGAGTTACGGTAGAAATACAATACACATAGAAATTACTCAAAATTAAACCGTTAAATTTTTCAAAACTACCTTTCGTTCTTGTGCTGCATTTTCTTCCGCTTTTCTGATAGCTTTTGCCCGTCGAAATTCTTCCCGCATCTATAATAGAGTTATTACATAAATTATTAAACTTTAGACCTCGGTCTGGTCTAGATAGGACATTGGTTAAACAGGGAGTCGCGTTTCACATCCGACCGATTTTTCATTTCTGCAGTATGTTCATGTCTAAAATTTCGTCAACGAAGAGTGAATGTTGCAGGCACTCTACCAAACAACGCTGGTACCCTCTGAGTACCCCCCGTAGTAACACTGGACCAATATAGCATGGCCCTTACTCGACTTCTAGGGAGAACAGTTTAGAAATTAGAACTGATAAAGCTATCCAACTTATTGAGTATAAATAAAGTTAGTTTAGTTTAAGTTTCCTCCTGTAGTAACACTGGATCAATAAGAGATGATCCTTACTGGACTTATAGGGCGAACACTTTAGAACTGATAGAACTTCAATGGATAGTTATCCATTGAATAAGAGATGATCCTTACTGGACCTCTATCCAGTATACATAAAGTTAGTTTAGTTTAGGTTTCCTCCTGTTTGTTAGGATATTTGGTATCGACATTTATTGCTGACCTTTGCATATTCTTTCTCTTGTAATCTTGCTTTGTATCGAGCTTGAGCCTTGATAAATCCTTCTCTCATCTTTTTGTACTTTTGCCTACAAAAACACGATACAAAGATTTAACTCTTACTGTACCTCTAGGGAGTTCAGTTCAGTTTAGTTTAAGTTTCCTTGCTGTAGTAACACTGGATCAATAAGAGATGATCCTTACCGGACCTCTAGGAAGAACAGTTTAGAACTGATAGAGCTATCCAGTATAAATAAAGTTAGTTTAGTTCAGGTTTCCTCCTGTAGTAACACTGGATCAATAAGAGATGATCCTTACTGGACCTCTAGAAAGAATAGTTTAGAACTGATAGAGCTATCCAGTATAAATAAAGTTAGTTTAGTTTAGGTTTCCTCCTGTAGTAACACTGGATCAATAAGAGATGATCCTTACTGGACCTCTAGGAAGAACAGTTTAGAACTGATAGAGCTATCCAGTATAAATAAAGTTAGTTTAGTTTAGGTTTCCTCCTGTAGTAACACTGGATCAATAAGAGATGATCCTTACCGGACCTCTAGGAAGAACAGTTTAGAACTGATAGAGCTATCCAGTATAAATAAAGTTAGTTTAGTTTAGGTTTCCTCCTGTAGTAACACTTGATCAATAAGAGATGATCCTTACTGGACCTCTAGGAAGAACAGTTTAGAACTGATAGAGCTATCCAGTATAAATAAAGTTACTTTCATTTAGGTTTCCTCCTGTAGTAACACTGGATTAATAAGAGATGATTCTTATTGGACCTCTAGGGAGAACAGTTTAGAACTGATAGACCTATCCAGTATAAATAAAGTTAGTTTCGTTTCGTTATTCGTCTGTACCGTTGACGCCATCCACGAACTTGACTTTGGATGAGAATTGCAGATTTTCTCATTTGAATAAATCTTCTGCGATAAAGCAAACGACGAACCTATAGGAAATATACATTATATTTTGAAGGTCTGATTGAGGTTATCTCACTGCTAATATTCTTCGTATTTTTGACTGAAAACTGACAAAATATCTTAACTGATAGCTTACAAACGATGAAACAGCAATTCGGAGCTCACATCTTACAAAATATCTTACTGACTTACCGAATACTGATAGCTAACGATTATCTTGAATTTTAGCGAGCAACTAACAAAATACCTTAACTGATACGTGAAAACGATGGAATAGTAATTTAGCTGAATCCTTGAAGGCTTGAATTTTTAGCTGAATCCAAAGAGCCAATTTTTACGAGGCATTTTATTCATCGGGGAGTACCATCTTCTTGAGAAAATGAGAATATATATGGACGAAACTTACGTGTTTCTGAAGAATAATTGTGGCTTTGTTAATTTTACGATATCGCACTTCCTCCAATCTGTGGGACAACTCCTCGCTGAGAAATGCCTAAAAGAAATACAGAAATCAGTTGATTGAAACCCAGGGAAAACAATGTTTCCTATTCATTGGTTTCATTTGACGTCACGTGGGGCACAAGGGTCTGGGGTAAACGACGGCTTTTATATTGGCTTTTATAATAGTCGTAAAACTCATTTACATAAGATGCGTTGACAGCCATTTTGGTTTTTTTTTGTTCAAATCCCAGTTCAATGGTTGACCCCACTTGAGTCAAATTATGCTAAAATATCATCACGTGATTGAAACCCAAGAATACAGTTTGCCCACCTTCGGGAAATATGGCTGAGATACGATGTTACCTGGTTTTTACTCACAATTGTGGATAAACCAGGAATGTCTATACAAAATATGGTTGGGAAACAATGTTTGCTATAGCCTTAAAAAAACTTAAATAGGTCGGCTCAGTTTAACCCATTGAGTGGCAGCACTCTCGCGCATTGCTACTTAAAGAGTTAATGAAAGTCATCATTTCCTACATTTCCTTACTTTGGTGTAACCAAGTTGGAAGGCATTGACAGTTTGTGATCCAGCAATTGCTCGCAAGATTTGTAGACATTGATCTTTCACTTGAGCGTCGTGTCTGACGTGCAATGATGATAGACAACGATACCTAGAGAAATGAAGATCGTTATTATCAACACATGTACTATCGTTTAGTGCAGCTGCGCCTAAAGTATGGAACAGTTTACCGGCTGAAATAAATATTGAAAATAGCGAATCTTATGTAAAATAGGTTAACAGGGCTGCAAATTACTGTCGGACATCGGACAATGTCCGACTAAATTTGGCAAATGTCTGAGCAAAAGTAATTTTGATCGGACATTGGTCAGATCACAAAAAAATTGTGACATTATACATTTTTTTGCCGTGACAAAATCCGATTGCAAATTCACTCAATTTGCATTTTGCAATAGAATTTACGAGGCATTCTAGCATTTTACTTAACGTTGCGCCGGAATGGCTATACATACTTGTCTCGTGACTTATAAATATCTTGTGACGTATATATGTCCGACCAAATTTAGTGGTGTACGTTGGTTTTTGTCCGACCAAATTCAAATGTCCGACCAAAATTAAAAGTGATCGGACAAATGTCCAGTCAAGTCAAATATTTATTTGCAGCCCTGGGTTAATTAATCTTATCATATTGTAACATCGATTGTAATGCGCAATTGAAAACAATTCAGTTGATATTTGCGCAATATAAATTAATAAATTATTATTATTATTATTATGTACCGACCGTTCAACTGATTAACGGCAGCGTTTATTTACACAAGAGTCAAAAGCATCATTCCTTTTTAATTTAGTTTAGTCTACCCGGGTGTCTCAAAAAAAACTGGACACTGCTTGATTTCATGTAACGTAAAAGTTATAAAAACTATCGCAATGAAATAAAGATCATTGGATTCAGAAATGACTAACTTAGATTTTGATATATAACACTTGAATTTACATGCAATATTGAGCGAGACACGACCAAAATAAAAATATTTATTATTTAACAAGTATAACTACATCGGTAATTATAAGGTTGTTTTATGCTAATTTTTGGCATTTTCAAAAACAGTAGTTCAACGTTCAAACATCAATAGTGCAGTCAATATTATTGCATGTAAATTCAAGTGCTATATATCAAAATCTAAGTTAGTCCTTTCTGAATGCAATGATCTTTATTTCATTGCGATAGCTTGTATAGCTTTTACGTTACATGAAATCAAACAGTACGTGTCCAGTTTGGGACACCCAAGTAGTTCTTCAGTCTTGCGGCCATTTCCTAGTCTACCTTCTCAAGAAGTCCGTGTAGAAATATCTGATTGGATATCCAAGTTTTCTGATCCGTACTGTTTCGAGAACACCGCTGTACCGTAGTTGCTCTAGTACCAAGGGCGTCTGTATCATCATTGGCGACTGCAAAGAGAGACACATAAACAAAATACCATTAATCCAAAAACCGAAAACATATTATTACAAAAACTCCAGAAATGAACACAAATTTTATTGTGTATACTTTTGAAGATCGAACCTACCTTTTCATTGTTTGGTTTAACACATCGAATAAAGAACGGATTACACCTAGGAGACGATAAATGAACAGTGAGTTCTATACAGGGTGTATCAGAAAAAAGTAGACAATTTTGAAACGGCTCTCAATTTCACAAATCCGTTCATGTCATGAAATTGTTGACAAAATTTACAATAGGTTTTGGCATTGGTGCCAACTGAAAATGAATGTTTCAGCAGCTATTTGAAGGACTTAAAATTGAGCAAATGTTCTGATATTTGGACCAATATTCTACATTCTAAGTGCCCAAACAATCTACAGTATATTTATCAAATCTTACTCTCTCATTTTCTGAAGTAAGGTCACAAGTGATTCATGGAATTTCGCAGCAACTGTGGATTTCTGTGGCGAGCTGGGGTTTAAAAGATGACCTCTAGAAAGTGTTTGATTCTGAGGTAGTGTAAGATCTGTCACGATGGCTGTGCCGGTGTAGGACTGAAGCTCTGGGAATAACTTGAACACAAACTGCAAGAGAGAGATATGGTTATAGTTTTACATGACTAACGAGCTAGGCTGAATTATGAAGGACGCAGCCCAACCTGATCGAGTCGAAGGCTTTCTGTGGGCGCCTCCCTGGCGCCTCCTCAATTTTAAAACAGAATCATCAACCCCCTAGAGTAGTACATTGTTACTTACAGGTTCTCTACAAGATGCAATGAGATCGACAAGATCTTTACGAAGCCCATCTCGGTTTTTATCCAAAAATTTATCAACCTAAAATAAAAAATCATAAAACTTGCAATATACCATGATGTACACAGACAAACACACCGAAACATGTCCTGATCATCTTCGTGTGAACGACAATGAAGGTCAGAGTTGCAGGATATAGTGAATTTTTCGTTGTTCATAAATTTCCAAATCTTATAACAATGGTTGTCTTTTCCATATTGTTCCGTAACTTCATAGTTAAAGGAAGAGATTGGTTGGAAACTTATTAGAGTGAGTTATATAATTCATTATTTATGTTAGTCAACGTTTATGAAAAATCTGGTCCTTCGCTACGTGCGAATTGTATTTTCGCCAAATCCACCAATAGCAATTTATTAAGTTACCCAATTGTTCAAGACACGGATAGCTAACTTTCCTAAAACATTGCTATTGGTTAGTTAGGCAAAAATACAATACACACACGAATAACGAACGACCAACTTTCTGAATAAACCTGAACAAAATTGTGGAAACACCACGTAAATTTATTACTGCAAAGCAAATTTAACTATTATATGTTTTATCATCTAATGTATAAACTATTATATGTTTTTTTTTACCCAAACGAAACTATTATATGTTTTATTGCCATGCAAACATACAAAGAACTTATTAAGTTACTGTATGTTGTAATTCTAACGAGTCTCCAACCCATCTCGTCTGCGAACTATGGAACTTTTGTCAGATCGGTCTTCATTTGGGAACCATGTCCCGTTGACCACACCCTCAATCAATACATTAGACACTTTTGTATTCTCATATGGTTCCAAAGTAAATAAACAAATAAATAAAAATATTTTCCAACTTACACTATACCACACGGTTCCAGCGTAGTGGCTGATTCCAAACTGCATTTTATGTGTTTTCGGTTTTTCAAAGCATTTGTGACTCTTGTAGCGTTGATAGCATTTCTCCAAGAAGGTTTGATCAGTTGACTACGGGAACATTAATGGTAGTATTGTGAGAAATTTTGTTTGACATAACACATTTAAACAGGAGAGACCCAACCACTTCCACCCAATCGCTACTTCCATCCATGCTTCCCATCCAGGTATTTTTATACCAATATTACACTAACCTTAGGAAAAGTAGTCTCATCCGACAGCAGATGCAAAATTCCAAAGTTCGTTCCACCAATCAGTTCGAGACACATCGTGTTGTCAGAATAACGAATCCATTTCCACTGCAACCCTTCTTTTTGATATTCTTCCTAAAATTGTGAAAATAAATAATACTTGAATAAATGTAATTATTTTGAGTAGATTAATGCTTCGCTCAATTGACTTAACTAACTTTATTTATACTGGATAGCTCTATCAGTTCTAAACTGTTCTTCCTAGAAGTCCAGTAAGGATCATCTCTTATATTGATCCAGTGTTACTACAGGAGGAAGCCTAAACTAAACTAATTTTATTTATTTATTTATTTATTTATTTATTTATTTATTTATTTATTTATACTGGATAGCTCTATCAGTTCTAAATTGTTCTTTCTAGAAGTCCAGTAAGGATCATCTCTTATATTGATCCAGTGTTACTACAGGAGGAAGCCTAAACTAAACTAATTTTATTTATTTATACTGGATAGCTCTATCAGTTCTAAATTGTTCTTTCTAGAAATCCAGTAAGGATCATCTCTTATATTGATCCAGTGTTACTACAGGAGGAAACCTAAACTAAACTAACTTTATTTATAATGGATAGCTCTATCAGTTCTAAACTGTTCTTCCTAGAGGTCCAGTAAGGATCATCTCTTATTGATCCAGTGTTACTACAGGAGGAAACCTAAACTAAACTAACTTTATTTATAATGGATAGCTCTATCAGTTCTAAACTGTTCTTCCTAAAGGTCCAGTAAGGATCATCTCTTATTGATCCAGTGTTACTACAGGAGGAAACCTAAACTAAACTAACTTTATTTATAATGGATAGCTCTATCAGTTCTAAACTGTTCTTCCTAGAGGTCCAGTAAGGATCATCTCTTATTGATCCAGTGTTACTACAGGAAGAAACTTAGATGATTAGACTGCTTGTATATTTAAGGACACCAGCCATGCAGGTATCCCAAACTAATGATCAGTCTTCCCGTTAGCAACGCCCTTGACAACATGATTTACCTGTTCCAAACTGAAGATGGATTGATTGAAGAAATATTGAAGACTTTCATTGGCGTAGTTGATGCAGAGTTGCTCAAAGCTGTTGCGTTGAAAATCCTGAAACAAGACATAATGAAAGGCTAGATTACCATTTTCATCATCAATGAAATTTTGATAGCATTTTCATCAAGAGACACAAGTGTGTTCCCTGTTACTCCCATACGTACCTCAAAACCAAATATGTCCAGAATAGCCAATGACATGTCTTTATCAGCTTTGCTTATAATCCCATTAGCCTTCTTAACGAGCCAACTGAACAATCTCGAATACAATGCTTTACTTAGAGCATCTCTAAACGAACATGATGGCAATATTTATTTTACGTGTACCATTGTTTTGATCAAATGCTTTTGCAAATTCTCCTCTAACACATTTCTTTACTTCACGAACGCTGTGAAATAAAATTTCCAGAAAATACTCGTTCAAATGTCTACGAAAGATTTTCTCTTTTAATTTGGTTTTGGAATTCTATGATATGGCGGAGAGTAAAGTGTGGGGATGTTACGAACTCAGTAAAGGAGAATATTAAAATAGCCTTCCTGCATTGCGCACGAGCGCGGTATGTTAATATATAACCACCCATAAAAACAAGTAGAACTAGAGGGCACTCATGCAGAGACTGCATACCTTCGCCCTACGCGCAAACTATTGAAGTAATCTATTGTTATTAGAATTTGAATGGCTGGTGCATATATTATACACGTCCTAATTACGCATTCAGTATAAAGTTTTATTTAATTGACTGGGAAAAGCAAGACAAACTTTTGTTATTTCTCATTCAATTTTTAACCAAATTCAACCAAATTTTAATCAGTTCTTCCTTAGCCGATGGCAAATGCATTAAAAAAATTTCGTATGGATATGTTTGCTATTTGTTGAGTTATCGTGCTCACAGACAAACACACATACACACACACGGTTGGAGTTAAATTAAAATATGCAACAAAACCCACACATTGTGTGAACTTTGCCTTGCAGTAGTATCTGACGCAAACTGTCGAGCTAATTTAATTGCTTCAAACGTCAAATTTTGCACATGTGTAGCTAAAACAATTAAACTCGAAAATTGAATTAGAAACAGGCCTGAGCAAGGTAAGACCAGGTAAATATATGTAACCGAATTTAATTACTCTGTTATTTACCCGCCCAAATTTTATTTATAATTGCACTTATTGCTTCCATTTAAAACAGTCAAGTTGGTTCTTGTCCTTTGTTATTTACGACAAGGAAAGCTCGGGGTATTAGCGGTTTAAATTGGATTTTAAAAATGATTAAGCTATGAGTATGACAGACAAAAAACATGTCTTGTGATCTGGATATTGTTGGATTAAAATAGTTTCTGCAAGCTGGTTTCTTGGTCAGAGTTGAAGAGGTCATCGAATAGTGAACACTTCTGTTAAAAAATGTTTGCTATATTTTTCTTTGCAGTTTTTGTGCTTTTGGCGAACGAAGGCAAAGCACTAAAAGCAGAAGGTATTTGTTGCGAGGAAATAGAATCTTTGTTGAAGAACAAAACAACTGCATACCAAACTGTATGTTTGGGACAAGAGAGTAGATTGTCGAGGAACTGTTGCAGAAATATCGAAATTGAAATCGAGAAACATCTCTATGCCTACAAGACGTTGTGTCCAACAGTTGCAAAACCTTCGACAACACCAACAACAACACCGTCAACAACTGCAGCAATAACTACTTCACCTTCAACAGGTATGCTTGTTTTTCATGGGTTTTTTTCCACTTTGCTTAAAAAATCATGGATGAATTCATACCCTTCGCCTCACACTGATAAAGAGTTATTCAATGTCGTTTACACAGGGTGTGGTTGCCCAATTCACAGCCAGGATGATTTTCATTCCTGAAAACTCTTAACCTTCGTTTCTGTTGAGCGTGATACATAAAATTAAGGTGATTAAATTTAATAACCTAATGATTCATTGAACGTTCCATTTCCCTTATCTAGAACCTCCTGTCATTCGATGTAAAACTCCTTTGGGAATTGAAAATGGAAATATATCTGATGTAGCTATGACGTCATCAACCATCCTAGACGCCAGTTCTTTGCCACATTTTGCTCGTCTGAGAAATCAACTTGGTGGCTGCGCATGGATTCCAGCGAAGAATGCTGACCGTAACTCATTCTGGCTTCAGGTTGACTTGGGAAGTCTGACAAATGTGTCAGCGGTCGCTACCCAGGGCAGTTGTTCAAGTGACCAATGGACAAAGTCATACGTCATCATGTATAGCAAAAATGACGTGGACTGGAAATATTACGGAGAACTGGGTACCATCAGGGTCAGTATTTATAAAATTCTTGCCAAAATAAAATGCACACACTAATGGTTTCATAATTAATTTTGTTAGGTGTTCATTGGTAACAACGACAGCAGCAGTGTTGTAACAAATTATTTCAAGTCTCCATTTGAGGCAAGATTCGTCAGAATTTCTTCCAGAAGTTGGCACAAGGACGCGGCCTTGCGAGTTGAGTTGTTTACTGACAGCTGCACTCCTTCTGTAAGTTAATAATTAAGTCTTACAACATTTAAATGTTGGTGTCACAGACGTTTGCTAATGTTCGTTTCATCTCTGCAATCAGGGTTCTTTATTCCTGCTGTGTGACTCTATCAAACACCACACGCATTTTTGCTGTTTCCCCCTGTTGATTGCTTCACTGGACAAATAAAATAAGATGGTCATTGCTGGATCTTGACGGAGAACAGTCCAGAACTTATGAATAACTTGAATTCCAGTTAAACTTGTATAGTAATATTGGACCGACGAAGATGCTCTGCTGTAGAGAGAACAGTTTAGAACCAAGAGCCCTGTTTAGAACTGATAGAGCTATCCAGTTTAAACAAAGTTGAGATAGAGCTATCCAGATAGAGCTATCCAGTTTAAACAAAGTTGAGATAGAGCTGTCTACATAGAGCTATCCAGTTTAAACAAAGTTGAGATAGAGCTATCCAGATAGAGCTATCCAGTTTAAACAAAGTTGAGAGAACTCTTTATTTCTTCCTTCTAGCCAGTTTCTAACCCACAAGCACCACGAAGTTGTTTAGATCATCTGAAAAACGGTTTAAAAACCAACGGCTATTACAACATTTATGACGCCAGCTCAAACCTTATCACCGTTTACTGTGATATGACGTCAGAGTCTGGAAAAGCCTGGACACTAGTCATGTCTTGGGCCACAAGCTACAAAGACATGGTCGAATTTCAATCAACATTATTATCTGCAGATTCCTCTGTAAGTGAAAGTTTACCAAACTGGAACAGATATCGAATGAGTTCGACCATGATGAATGACCTTAGTACCCAGTCCACTCACTGGCGCGCGACCTGCAGTTTTCCAACCCATGGCGTTGATTATGTTGATTACGTCAGAGGAAAATTTGTAGATTTTGACATCATAAATTTTGTAGGAACTGTTGATTGCAAGAGAGTAGAATACGTGAATATTCGTGGCCATCAGTGTAGTGATTGCAGTTTGGCGTGGTGGCAAACGTCTGACGGATACGGTCTTCACACTGATAGTTCTACTAGCCTCTGTGGTTATAATCCATCGCAAGGGGCAGGTACTTGGGAAGATAATTTTGGTTACTATCGCAATATAAATTCAAATTTCCGCTGTACTGCCGACGCAAGTGCGACAACAAACTGGTGGTTTGGTGGAAATGTTGCATAACATTACCAGATAAAAAAACAACTCTCAAATCATCGAACACATTGCAGGATTTGCAGCTTTTGACTGTTCTTTTTATATTTGTTAAAGTTACAGTTCCTGATCACAAATTTAATTGACTTTCATAAAAATACGTAAACCTAAAACGGTATTCTGAACTGCATTCTGTTAAACTTAAAGTTGAATAAAGTTAAAATTCCTGCTTCTATTTTTAAAATTTTATGCTAAGCATATCTTGTTTAGTTCATATGCTCTAGTTTGATAAACGAATTAATGTTGTTTAATTCCTTTCATTTCATTTCAAGTACAGTTCATATTTTTGCTTTCGGTTTTTCACATTTGCACTGTGAACCTTATCCTAGCGAGGTAAGTGATGATACTATGGTGTGACTCACTCAGTCTGATTTCAAAATCTCGCTCTTTTCACTCCAAGGAGTTCGCCATAATTTTGAGATCAGTGGTGAGAGATATAGTCAACGCTTCTTGACTTTCCATCACGAAATGTTTCCTTCACCCAGGTATAAATAGCCGAGCGGCATTAGTACCCTCGTCCAAATCACTCAAGGATATAAATGTGTTGCAGTCATTGCACATTTTTAATCAGAATTTAAGAAATCACAGACCGTTTTGCATTCCCTATCAACCCCCCACCCCGGATCAGGGAGTTTCCTGTTTAGTTGTTAGCTGTTTCCTAGGTTTTAATTATATATTCAATTTGATATCTGATTCTAATTTCATTTGTTTCCACTTCAGAAATTCCATTGCGTTCAAACATATTGTTTGTCTTGCGCCTGAAGTCTCAGAAAATCATTAATTTAAATTAAACCTCCCCATTAATAAATTTGAAAGGCAACGTTCAGCGAGAAAGGCTGCCTTCCAGTTAAACCCATTTTCCACTAGGCGAATTTGTTCGCGCGAACAGTAAAAAAGTAGGAACTGATCCAACAGTGCAGTGCGTTCGATCGTTTTACAGAAGATGAAATCTCAGAAATTTATTCATTTTATTCACCTTGCAAAACATTGATAAATTGTATAGAATGGTTAAATCTCAGTGAGAAGGCTTGTATAAGCACATCGAATGCGTTTTTTTTCTGTTATTTCAAACAAACAACCAGAAATCGTTATTTTACGCATCTTAAAAAACGTTTGTTTTAAATCATGACAAATTAAGCCTTGTTTCTCTAGAATCTAGATGCTGGTTCCCTATAAATAATTTGAACAAGCTGGTTTTTGAACAATGTTCGAGAAGCTAGTATTATATTTACCGAATATCGTACTATTTTATATCAAAACACCAACAAACAAAACAAAAAACCTAAAATATAAACTAAACGAGTAAAATCTCTCTTCGTATTCCTTCGACTCCCAGAAGTTTATAATTTGACACACATTCCATTTCTTTGTTCCCCATGATTGGGTTAACAAGAATGTTATGATCATGCATAAAATTAATGAACATCTCCTTGCACTTCCCTGGGTTAAGTTTCATATTATGACTACTAGCAAATCCATGTTTGTCCATTACCATATAGTTAAGTAAGCTGATGGAATTTCTTGATAAGATCTCTAAGGCCGAGGTATCGTCAACAAACTTGATTCTTAAAGGCCAATCTGCGATTAGTCCGTTTGTCGTTACTGCAAATAAAATGACTCCTGCTTCGTTCCTTGTGTAATTCCTCCCTTCACTTTTCTCCATTCAGACATGGTATCTTCAATTTTTACAGCCTCTTGTCGATTAGTTAAAAATGCCGCCATCCATCTGATAAACACAGGGGAAATTGAGAAAACGAGGTCCGGAAATATTAATTACGAGGTTTAAATACATCACGTGGCGACTCTTTTGCGTGTGGCGAGCAAAAAAGTGGAGGTGTCACGGTACTATACTATACTTCTTTACAGCTAGTCAAGACTGATGTTCAAGAATGTTTTCGCTTACTTTCTTTGCAGTTTTTGTGCTTTTTGCGAACAAAGGCAAAACACTAAACGCAGAAGGTATTTGTTGCGAGGAAATAGAATATTTGTTGAAGAACAAAACAACTGCATACCAAACTGTGTGTTTGGGACGAGAGAGTAGATTGTCGAGGAACTGTTGTAGAAATATCAAAATTGAAATCGAGAAATATCGTTATGCCTACAAGACGTTGTGTCCAACAATTGCAAAACTTGTGACAACACCAACAACACCACCGTCAACAACAACGGCAACAACACCGTCAACAACAGCGGCAACAACAACAGCAACAACAGCGGCAACAACAACAGCAGTAACTAGTTCACCCTCAACAGGTATGTTTGTCTTTAACGGGTTTTTACCCTTTGTTTAAACAATTCATGCGCCCTTCGCCTCACACTGATAATAATAAAGTGTTATTGCTACTGCTCCAGGGGAGCTTGAGTCTAGGTTTCGTCGTGTTGAAAATTTGTAGGTGGCGTTTTGGACTTCGTTGACCAAGTAATGCATTGCGCACTTCTGATCGTGATTTGCGCACGATGCAAAATATATATGCACAGAATACACTACCACACTGCAACATTGCTTGGTGCAGTGTAATATTAAATTCTTATGCTCGTCAAGACTGTCAAGTGATAACAGCATCGAACAATACAAATAGAGAGGTCCCTTTTCCCCCTGATGTTTTAAAATTGTTACAATACGCCTAATACTATACAGTAGTGCGAATATTAATCAGTTTCTCATTTTCATTAGCTTCGGTACATGAAAAGTTACATCTTTCAATGGACGTAAACAGAATATCGATGTCTCAAAAAATATCTACTAAATACTGTACCAACTGTCAATGTCCAATCTATACAATTATATATTGCACGTTTATTCTATCTGATCGCCGCGTTGCATGTAGTATCCTCCCAGGGTAACCATATAGCCTTAATTAGCTCCAGGCTTCCCACAACAAGCGTAATTGTCATGTGTCCCTTTGTGTCCCTCAAGTAATGCTAACCCTTGAAGCACGAGTGTACGCCTGAACTGGCGTCTTATTCAATGTCGTTTACACAGAGTGTGGTAACCGCTACAGAAAAACAGAACAAATTACGGTAAAACACAACAGAATACAATAACGGAAGTGAAACACTCTTTGTATTTTGACTGTAATAACCTGTTGATTCAATGAACATTCTATTTCCCTTATCTAGAACCTCCTGTCATTCGATGTAAAACTCCTTTGGGAATTGAAAATGGAAATATATCCGATGTAGCTATGACGTCATCAACCATCCTAGACGCCAGTTCTTTGCCACATTTTGGTCGTCTGAGAAATCAACTTGGTGGCTGCGCATGGATTCCAGCGAAGAATGCTGACCGTAACTCATTCTGGCTTCAGGTTGACTTGGGAAGTCTGACAAATGTGTCAGCGGTCGCTACCCAAGGCAGTTGTTCAGGTGACCAATGGACAAAGTCATACGTCATCATGTATAGCAAAAATGACGTGGAATGGAAATATTATGGAGAACTGGGTAACATTAGGGTCAGTATTTATAAAATTCTTGCCAAAATAAAATGCACACACTAATGGTTTACAATTAATTTTGTTAGGTATTCATTGGTAACACCGACAGCAGCAGTGTTGTAACAAATTATTTCAAGTCTCCATTTGAGGCGAGATTCGTCAGAATTTCTCCCAGAAGTTGGCACAAGGACGCGGCCTTGCGAATTGAGTTGTTTACTGACAGCTGCACTCTTTCTGTAAGTTAGTAATTAAATCTTACAACATTTAAATGTTGGTGTCACAGACGATTGTCTATGTTCGTTTCATCTCTACAATCGGGGTTTTTTTATCCCTACTGTTTGACTCTATCAAACAGCCATGTATTTTTGCTGTTTCCTCCTGCTGATTGCGTCATTCGACCAATAAAATAAAATAGTCGTTACTGGATCTTGAAGGAGAACAGTCCAGAACTTATGAATAACTTGAATTCCAGTTAATATATCCTCCTGTGTAGTAATATTGGACCGACGAAGATTCTCTACTGTAGAGAGAACAGTTTAGAACCAGCGCCCTGTTTAGAACTGATAAAGCTATCCAGATAGAGCTATCCAGTTTAAACAAAGTTGAGATAGAGCTATTCAGATAGAGCTATCCAGTTTAAACAAAGTTGAGAGAACTCTTTATTCCTTCCTTCTAGCCAGTTGCTAAACAACAAGCACCACGAAGTTGTTTAGATCATCTGAAAATCGGTCTAAAAACCAATGGCTATTACAACATTTATGACGCCAGCTCAAACCTCATCACCGTTTACTGTGATATGACGTCAGAGTCTGGAAAAGCCTGGACACTAGTCATGTCTTGGGCCACAAGCTACAAAGACATGGTCGAATTTCAATCAACATTATTATCTGCAGATTCCCCAGCCCTGTAGATGAAAGTTTACCAAACTGGAACAGATATCGAATGAGTTCGACCATGATGAATGACCTTAGTACCCAGTCCACTCACTGGCGCGCGACCTGCAGTTTTCCAACCCATGGCGTTGATTATGTTGATTACGTCAGAGGAAAATTTGTAGATTTTGACATCATAAATTTTGTAGGAACTGTTGATTGCAAGAAAGTAGAATACGTGAATATTCGTGGCCATCAGTGTAGTGATTGCAGTTTGGCGTGGTGGCAAACGTCTGACGGATACGGTCTTCACACTGATAGTTCTACTAGCCTCTGTGGTTATAATCCATCGCAAGGGGCAGGTACTTGGGAAGATAATTTTGGTTACTATCGTAATATAAATTCAAATTTCCGCTGTACTGCCGACGCAAGTGCGACAACAAACTGGTGGTTTGGTGGAAATGTTGCGTAACATTGCCGGATCTAAAGAAATTCTCAAACTTGCAAAAATAAAACACATTACAGCTTTCGAGTGATTACTACTGATTTTATATTAGTTATAGTTACAGTTCCTGATCGCAAATTTAATTGACTTTTTTAAGAACGTAAACTTAATGCTCTACTGTAATTCTGAACTTCATTCTGTTAAATTAAAGTTGAATAAAAAGTTTAAAATTTTATGCTAACCAACATGCTAAGCATGTCGATATCTTGTTTAGCTCATATGCAATAGTGTTATTAGTTTGATAAACGAATTAATGTTGTTTAATTCCTTTCATTTCAAGGGCAGTGCATATTTTTGCTTTCAGTTTTCCACATTTGCACTGTGAACCTTATCCTAGCTAGGTAAGTGATGGTATTATGGTGTGACTTACTCAGTCTGATTTTAAAATCTCGTTCTTTTCACTCCACGAAAAGTTTCCCTTCACCCAGGTATAAATAGCCGAGCGGCATCAGTACCCTCGTCCAAATCACTGAAGGATATAAATGTGTTGCAGTCATTGCACGTTTTTAATCAGAATTTAAGGAACCACAGACCGTTTTGCATTCCCTATCAACCCCCCACCCCGGATCAGGGAGTTTCCTGTTTAGTTGTTAGTTGTTTCCTAGGTTTTAATTATATATTCAATTTGACATATGATTCTAATTTCATTTGTTTCCATTTCAGACATTCCATTACGTTCAAACATATTGTTTGTCTTGCGCCTGAAGTCTCAGAAAATCATTAATTTAAATTTAACCCCAAACCCCCCCATTAATAAATTTGAAAGGCAACGTTCAGCGAGAAAGGCTGCCTTCCAGTTAAACCCATTTTCCACTAGGCGAATTTGTTCGCGCGAACAGTAAAAAAGTAGGAATTGATCCAACAGTGCAGTGCGTTCGATCCTTTTAGAGAAGATGAAATCTCACAAATTTATTCATTTTATTCACCTTGCAAAACATTGATAAATTGTATAGAACGGTTAAATCTCAGCGAGAAGGCTTGTGTAAACACATCAATCAATCCTATAGCTCCAATCTTTTCGATAAATGTGTTTCTTTTCTGTTACTTCAAATGAAACAACCAGAAATCGTTATTTCACGCATCTTAAAAAAACGTTTCAAATCATGACAAATTAAGCCTTGTTTCTCTAGAATCTAGATGTTGGTTCCCTATAAATACTTTGAACAAGCTGATTTTTGAACAGTGTTCGAGAAGCTAGTGTTATATTTATTGTACTATTTTATATCAAAATTAACAACAACAAACAAAACAAAAAACCTAAAATATAACTAAACGAGTAAAATCTCTCTTCGTATTCCAATTTAGGTCTTCATTTAAATAGACTTCCAGACGACTCCCTTGACACACATTCCATTTCTTTGTTCCCCATGATTGGGTCCTTACATTTCCCTGGGTTAAGTTTCATATTATGACTACTAGCAAGTCCATGGATGTCCATTACCATATAGTTAAGCAAGCTGATGAATTTCTTGATAAGATCTCTAAGGCCGAGGTATCGTCAACAAACTTGATTCTTAAAGGCCAATCTGCGATTAGACCGTTTGTCGTTACTGCAAATAAAATGACTCCTGCTTCGTTCCTTGTGGAATTCCTCCCTTCACTTTTCTCCATTCCGACGTGGTACCTTCAATTTTTGCGGCTTGTTGTCGATTAGTTAAAAATGCCGCGATCCATCTGATAAGCACAGGGGAAATTGAGATAACGAGGTCGGGAAATATTAATTACGAGGTTTGAATAAATCACGTGGCGTCTCTTTGGCATGTGGCGAGCAAAAAAAGTGCAGGTGTCACGGTACTATACTATACTTCTTTACAGCTAGTCAAGACTGATGTTCAAGAATGTTTGCGCTTACTTTCTTTGCAGTTTTTGTGCTTTTTGCGAACGAAGGCAAAACACTAAACGCAGAAGGTATTTGTTGCGAGGAAATAGAATCTTTGTTGAAGAACAAAACAACTGCATACCAAACTGTGTGTTTGGGACGAGAGAGTAGATTGTCGAGGAACTGTTGTAGAAATATCAAAATTGAAATCGAGAAATATCGTTATGCCTACAAGACGTTGTGTCCAACAATTGCAAAACCTGCGACAACACCAACAACAACACCGTCAACAACAACGGCAACAACAACAGAAGTAACTAGTTCACCCTCAACAGGTATGTTTGTTTTTAACTGGTTTTTACCCTTTGTTTAAACAATTCATGCGCGCTTCGCCTCACACTGATAATAATAAAGTGTTATTGCTACTGCTCCAGGGGAGCTTGAGTCTAGGTTTCGTCGTGTTGAAAATTTGTAGGTGGCGTTTTGGACTTCGTTGACCAAGTAATGCATTGCGCACTTCTGATCGTGATTTGCGCACGATGCAAAATATATATGCACAGAATACATTACCACACTGCAACATTGCTTGGTGCAGTGTAATATTAAATTCTTATGCTCGTCAAGACTGTCAAGTGATAACAGCATCGAACAATACGAATAGAGAGGTCACTTTTCCCCCTGCTGTTTTAAAATTGTTACAATACGCCAAACAAGCATAATTGTCATGTGTCCCTCAAGTAATGCTAACTCTTGAAGCACGAGTGTACGCCTGAACTGGCGTCTTATTCAATGTCGTTTACACAGAGTGTGGTAACCGCTACAGAAAAACAGAATAAATTACGGTAAAACACAACAGAATACAATAACGGAAGTGAAACACTCTTTGTATTTTGACTGTAATAACCTGTTGATTCAATGAACATTCTATTTCCCTTATCTAGAACCTCCTGTCATTCGATGTAAAACTCCTTTGGGAATTGAAAATGGAAATATATCTGATGTAGCTATGACGTCATCAACCATCCTAGACGCCAGTTCTTTGCCACATTTTGCTCGTCTGAGAAATCAACTTGGTGGCTGCGCATGGATTCCAGCGAAGAATGCTGACCGTAACTCATTCTGGCTTCAGGTTGACTTGGGAAGTCTGACAAATGTGTCAGCGGTCGCTACCCAAGGCAGTTGTTCAAGTGACCAATGGACAAAGTCATACGTCATCATGTATAGCAAAAATGACGCGGACTGGAAATATTATGGAGAACTGGGTAACATTAGGGTTAGTATTTATAAAATTCTTCCCAAAATAAAATGCGCACACTAATGGTTTCATAATTAATTTTGTTACGTGTTCATTGGTAACAACGACAGCAGCAGTGTTGTAACAAATTATTTCAAGTCTCCATTTGAGGCAAGATTCGTCAGAATTTCTCCCAGAAGTTGGCACAAGGACGCTGCCTTGCGAATTGAGTTGCTTACTGACAGCTGCACTCTTTCTGTAAGTTAATAATTAAATCTTACAACATTTAAATGTTGGTGTCACAGACGTTTGTCTATGTTCGTTTGTCTATGTAAAATCAGGGTTTATTATTCCTAGCTGCTGTTTGACTCTATCAAACACCGCGTGTATTTCTGCTGTTTTCTCCTGTTGATTGCCTCATTGGACCAATAAATTAAGATGGTCGTTACTGGATCTTGAAGGAGAAGAGTCCAGAACTTACAAATAAATTGAATTTGAGTTAATATTTCCCCTGTAGAAATACTGCACCGACGAAGTTGGCTCTAGAGAGAACAGTTTAGAATCAAGAGCCCTGTTTAGAACTGATAAAGCTATCCAGTTTAAACAAAGTTGAGAGAACTCTTTATTTCTTCCTTCTAGCCAGTTTCTAACCCACAAGCACCACGAAGTTGTTTAGATCATCTGAAAAACGGTTTAAAAACCAACGGCTATTACAACATTTATGACACCAGCTCAAACCTCATCACCGTTTACTGTGATATGACGTCAGAGTCTGGAAAAGCCTGGACACTAGTCATGTCTTGGGCCACACGCAACAAAGACATGGCAGAATTTAAAACGAATGCATTTTATGTAGATTCCCCCGTGGATGAAAGTTTACCAAACTGGAACAGATACCGAATGAGTTCGAACATGATGAACGACCTTAGTGCCCAGTCCACTCACTGGCGAGCGACCTGCAGTTTTCGGACCCATGGCATTGACTATGTTGATTACGTCAGAGGAAAATTTGTAGATTTTGACGTCATAAATTTTGTAGGATCTGGTGATTGCGAGAGAGTAGAATACGTGAATATTCGTGGCCATCAGTGTAGTGATTGTAGTATGCCGTGGTGGCAAAATTCTGGCGATGGTCTTCACACTGATAGTTCTTATAGCTCTTGTTCTTATAAGCCATTGGCACGTGGGAACGAAGATAATTTTGGCCACTATGGCGAAGTAAATTCAAAGTTCCGCTGTACTGCTGACGCAAGTGCGACAACAAACTGGTGGTTTGGTGGAAATGTTGCATAACATTGCCGGATCTAAAGAAATTCTCAAACTTGCAAAAATCAAACACATTACAGCTTTTGACTGATCACTACTGATTTTATATTAGTTATAGTTACAGTTCCTGATCGCAAATTTAATTGACTTTCTTAAGAACGGAAACGTAATGCTTTATTGTAATTCTGGAAAAGTTGAATAAAAAGTTTAAAATTTTATGCTAACCAACATGCTAAGCATGTCGATATCTTGTTTAGCTCATATGCAATAGTGTGATAAACGAATTAATGTTGTTTAATTCCTTTCATTTCAAGGGCAGTGCATATTTTTGCTTTCGGTTTCTAACATTTTCATTGTGAACCTTATTCTAGCGAGGTAAGTGATGGTATTATGGTGTGACTTACTCAGTAAGATTTTAAAATCTCGCTCTTTTCACTCCAGACAGTCCGCCATAATTTTGAGATCAGTGGTGAGGCCACTATGAGATATAGTCAACGCTTCTTGGACATATTATAGCTCAGTGACAGTGTTCTTGACTTTCCATCACGAAATGTTTTCACTCAGGTGTAAATAGCAGAGTGGCATTAGTACCCTCCTCCAAATCACTCAAGGGTAATGTCATTTCACGTTTTTAATCCGAATTTAAGGAACCGTGGACCGTTTTGCATCCCCCCTACCTCGGATCAGGGAGTTTCCTCTTTAGTTGTTAGCTGTTTCCTAGGTTTTAATTATATATTCAATTTGATATACGATTCTAATTTCATTTGTTTCCATTTCAGACATTCCATTACGTTCAAACATATTGTTTGTCTTGCGCCTGAAGTCTCAGAAAATCATTAATTTAAATTAAACCTCCCCATTAATAAATTTGAAAGGCAACGTTCAGCGAGAAAGGCTGCCTTCCAGTTAAACCCATTTTCCACCAGGCGAATTTGTTCGCGCGAACAGTAAAAAAGTAGGAACTGATCCAACAGTGCAGTGCGTTCGATCGTTTTACAGAAGATGAAATCTCACAAATTTATTCATTTTACTCATCTTGCAAAACATTGATAGATTGTATAGAATGGTTAAATCTCAGTGAGAAGGCATTTATAAGCACAACGAATGTGTGTTTTTTCTGTTATTTCAAACAAACAACCAGAAATCGTTATTTTACGCATCTTAAAAAACATTTGTTTTAAATGATGACAAATTAAGCCTTGTTTCTCTAGAATCTAGATGTTGGTTCCCTGTAAATAGTTTGAACAAGCTGGTTTTTGAACAATGTTCGAGAAGCTAGTATTATATTTATCGAATATCGTACTATTTTATATCAAAACATCAACAAACAAAACAAAAAACCTAAAATATAAACTAAACGAGTAAAATCTCTCTTCGTATTCCTTCGACTCCCAGAAGTTTATAATTTGACACACATTCCATTTCTTTGTTCCCCATGATTGGGTTAACAAGAATGTTATGATCATGCATAAAATTAATGAACATCTCCTTACGCTTCCCTGGGTTAAGTTTCATATTATGACTACTAGCAAATCCATGTTTGTCCATTACCATATAGTTAAGTAAGCTGATGGAATTTCTTGATAAGATCTCTAAGGCCGAGGTATCGTCAACAAACTTGATTCTTAAAGGCCAATCTGCGATTAGTCCGTTTGTCGTTACTGCAAATAAAATGACTCCTGCTTCGTTCCTTGTGGAATTCCTCCCTTCACTTTTCTCCATTCAGACACGGTATCTTCAATTTTTACAGCCTGTTGTCGATTAGTTAAAAATGCCGTGATCCATCTAATAAGCACAGGGGAAATTGAGATAACGAGGTCCGGAAATATTTGAATTTTGAATTTATTTGAATTTGAATTTATTAATAAAATATAGACTTTGCAACCATGAAGGTTGAAATACATCTATCATTTACAGGGTAAGGTTGATTAGAAAAATATTGTATATTTACAAAAACATATTTACTATAATATAGGAAGAGTTTAAAACTTTTAGTATGATATTACCATAATATTTACAAATAAAAATGTATGTAATTTATAGTTACTCAGTGTTTATTATAAATCGTTACAGACGAGGGAATGTACGAATTTTTGAAGCGATTTGTCCGACAATTAATTGGAACGAGTTTATTCGATGTGCGTAGATTGTAGCTTGGATGTTCGGCTGGTTCAACTAGTTCGGATAGAGGACTAGTTTGCGGAAGAACCTTTTTTCTAAAAAATTTTGAACATAACAGTTCGCGCCTAGAATACAATGTTGGGATATTGAGATCTGATAAGGATTCTTTGTATGATGACGATGGGTTAATTATTTTCAACGCTCTTGACTGGATCCTTTCTATTTCTTTGGATAGGTATTCAGGTATGTTATAATGCCAAACTTGGGCGCAATACTCCAAGATGGGTCTTACACATGAAAAATACACTGATATCAATGTTTTAGTGTCACAACGAGCTCGCTTGAGGAGTCTAAGCATGTAAAGGCGTTTTGCGGATTTTTTCACTATGTAAGCCACGTGGTCATTCCACTTTAGGTTGTCCTTGAAAATTAAGCCAAGGAGTTTAGCGGATTTCACAACTTCAATGGGCTGTTCGTCAACGATCATTGGAGGGAAATTTGGATTGTTTTTCCAAAAACAAACGAAGATTTCTTTGCATTTACGGGGGTTTAAGGACATGTTATTTCTTGCACACCACTGCGTAATTCCTTCTAAAATAGTTTGAAAGTTCGAATCTTGGTTTCTAGAAAGGGTTTCTGAAACAGACGAATCGTCAACATATTTCCATCTATCGTTCCAATCAACCAACAAATCGTTTATCATAATCATAAATAGAATCGGACCTAAGACAGTGCCTTGTGGAACCCCACCGTTCACTGGTTCGAAACTTGAGGTGTATTTACCTATCTTCACTCGCTGTTTCCTGCCAGTAAGAAACTGTTTTACCCATGCAATAAGAACGGGATCGATGGCCATTTCCTCCATCTTCTTGATAAGAATATGGTGATCAATCTTGTCGAAGGCTTTACTAAAATCCAGAAGCAGCACACGCACGCATTGGTCAGATTGGTCGGTAGTTCCATACAGATGATGAAAAAAGGATAGAAGAGCGTGAGTTGTAGATAAGCCGGCGAGTGATCCGAATTGTTTCCTGTCAACGAGATGTCTGATCTGTGACATAATCCACTCTGCGACAAAATGTTCCAAGGTTTTTGAGAGAATTGGTGTTAGAGATATTGGGCGTAGATCATTTTCAATTTCCTTAACCTTATCTGTTTTACGAATAGGTATTACATCTGCTACTTTCCATGAAACGGGTACGACTCTCTCTTGGATTGACGCGTTAAAAATTTCAGCAACAGGTGATGAGAGTTCCATGGCAAACTCGTTTAAGACCCAACTTGGTAAGTTGTCAGGACCCGAGGCTTTAGTGCGTTTGAGGTTGGAGAGCTTCGTAAAAACATCTTCAGGAGAGATGTGGTATTTTGAAATAATTTCGTTAACTACAGCAGGATCAGTTTCAACGTTTTCCAATTGGCTGTTTAGAGGTGGTAGAGAGTTAGTGATACACAGGAAGCTTTCATTAATTTTTGTTGCTAATTCGGTTGAATGGAATTCTTTGCCCGATACAAAAACACTGGATACTGGTAATTTCTTAGGAAGTCCTCCAAGTTGTTTGATGGATTTCCACCAGGAAGCTACATTGTCACAGTTTTTTACCTTATTTTCAAAAAAGGAACTCCTAAGACTGTTATTTAGCCTGTTAACTTTATTTCTCAATTTTTTGTAAACAGGAGGGTCTTTGGACATTGCTTGTTGTCGTTGCTGGATTAGACTCTTCACTTCAGGAGTAATCCAAGGCCTGTCTGTTGGGTGTTGCTTGATTTTTCGGAGTGGGAAGAAAATTTCGATAGCAAAATTTAGCAAAGATTGGAAAGCAGCGAGTTTTTCCGTACAGTTTGATAGTGTTTCAAGGAATGACCAATCAGTAGATGCTAACCATCTTCCAAAACAGGACTTCATGCTTGGCTTTACATTTCTTCTAAAAATTGATTCTACTTTCGTTTTGTGAGTTCTCCTTAAAGGACGAATAAGTAGGGAGTTATGGTCACTTAAGCCGATTCCGGGTAGAATTTGAGGAGTGCTATAATGGTGAAACAGGTTGGTGAAAATTAGGTCGAGGATTGCAGCACCACGTGTTGGATTTTTAACGGTTTGTCGCAGGTTAAAATGGTTACTAATATATCGGTAATTTAAACGATTAAAATCGCCAACCAAAATAATTCCAGCATTAGGATATTTGTTCAAAGCAGCATCCAAAGATGAAATTAGGTGATCCGTAAAAGTAGCATCATCGTCTTGTGGTGGGTGGTATATAATACCGATAATTAGGCAAGAAAAACCTCGTGGGAGTCGGTTCGGACGGAGGTATACCCAAAGAGATTCAAATGGGGAATCATTAAGTTCGTCAATTGTTGTGAAATCAATTGATGATTTGATGTACGTACAAACACCACCACCACGTTTATCAGCGCTTCGATCTTTCCGTACTAGCGTGTAATCACTAATGTCGACTACTGAGTTGGAAATATTATTGGTCAGCCAAGTTTCTGTAATACAAACTATATCCACGTCGTTTTGGTTAATGACAACTTCCAGATCCTCAATTTTATTAACGAGTGATCTTGTATTAGAAAGGAACAAAGAGGGTAAGGAACTTTTTTCTTTTTCTCTCGAAGGAACCTTTCTTGTCGATGTTAAATTAATAGGTACCAAGTTACTTCGTCTCTTTGAGTTAATGTTTGAAGTATTATTAGAATTACAGTGGTTGTAATTTTGTCTCTGTGTAACTCTAACAGGAATAGCTAAGTTCTTTTTCTTATCATCCCATGAACAAATTCTAGGTAATTCAACCAATCTTTCTGATTTTGTTGTGGTTGATGGTTGGGCTGGGAATTTTGATAGAACTGGAAATTCTGATGAGGTCGATGATTCTGATGGGACCGGTAATTTTGATCGTATCGAAGGTTTGGGTAAGGGGGATGATTTGGGTGAGGCCGATGATTTAAACGGCGCCGTCGAAAATTTGTCAGGTGAGCGGAATGGAGTGATGTCTGATGGTTCCCTTGATGCTTGGGAATTTCACTCACAGCATCGAGAGGAATCCGATCGGTGGTTTTAGTTATGCCACGTTGGGATTGAGTATTAATTTGTCGTTTTGCATAATAGCCATGCCTGTATCGCTTCGAGTAAACCTTCTTCTTATTGGGAAGCTTACTTTGTTTATTTTTCTGCATTTTTGATGATGGTAACTCAATTAGAGGCAAATTTCCCAAACACATAGGTAGCGTCGTTTTGGTTTTACACCGTCTAAATGGTTGACCTTGTAGTTTACCTTCTACGGTATTGCAGTTTGATTTAGAATTCTCACATTGATAATCACGAACACTATTAGAATTGTTACTGACTTTACTCTGTAGTTTATCACTTTGATGTCCATGTGATAAACATAACTGTGATAAACAAAACGCGTCCGGTCTGTGTTGGCCTATAAGCCTGGTTCACATATGCCTGCGACTGTATCATTATGCCTCAACTTGCCGCCGAAATACCGGCAAAGTTGAACTCAACTCAACTTTCCCGGCCTACCGCCGATGTATAACTGAGGCACTGGCGGCAATCGGCGAACAAATGTTCACATAATTTACATTTTAAAGCTAGCACCGGTATCGTCGCCGGTACGTCGCAGGCATATATACAGAATAAGTTAGGAACGCTATTTTCAGAGGAATTATTGCAACGGAGAGATGCTGTTTCGCTCAGCTTCTGAAACTTGTACCATATCGATTATCGGATAGGCGGTATTAAATAATAGTGTAAACGTCGCCATAGCCTATAGACATAGTTTGAGGATGTAAAGCGTATGTCAATAAACTTTTCCCTTATTCCTTAATTAACGAATGTGCTTATCATAGACATAGTCCTTATAATTATTACTTATTAGTATCTTTCACTTTGGCATTATACTCTTCAAAAGTTGAACAAATATATACTGTAGGCTAGCCTGGCTATAGTATTGTTATATTAAATTAATAAAATAATATAGCCATGCCCATGGCCTACCCTATTATACCTATAGTACAAACAATCTTTTCAAGAAAACTATGTCTATGCCATGGTCTCAGGATTTCACCCGCCATGTTGGACGAATGCAAAGTCAAAGACATTCATTAATCCAATATATTAGGAAAAGACCTGCGGTTAGGAGTTAAGATATACACAAGCTATATAATAGCTAAATAGGCCGTATCACACAATTAAATCTATCACATGCCTGACTCGACAGACTGGCACAGTTTCCCGATGAAAGGCCGCGGTAATACCTCGGGTAATACACTTTGGTCTTTTAATACACTAATCAAAGTTTCTGTGACCACAGTAGGAATTTTGCACATTTCTGACTATAAGTTTTGTCTTTTGAAGAATTTCTACTGTCTGCTGAAAAACGTTTGCCGAAACTGACTCTTTGTTTAACACTAAAAATTCTTACTGTGATCGTAGAAACTTTGATAGCGTGTGAACCATGTATAAATTGATGTTTGTTTTGTTAGGCTTAGGTTCATTATTTGAGATGGTATAATCAGTAGACAATATCGTTTACATGAATATACATTGTTAATATGAAAACTATTACAGTAAATGCGTTGGAAAATTTAAGTTCATTCCATTCTTAAGTAGCCTATATAATTAGTAAACTATAGTTAATACACTAAACTTTTCAACATTCTGACACGATATTAAAAGACTAAACTCTAATTCTAAACTACTAAAGTCACTATTCTAAATGTAAAAAACTTAAATATGTTATTATATTATATAATGCTTTTAATATTCTAAAGCTGGTTTCACAGTGGGAATTTTCAATTTTGCATATACCATATGTAAATTTCCCTCAATTGCTCAAACATTTCTGAATCCTTCAAAACTTAGAATTTACCTATGCAAAATTACTACCGTGATCACAGAAATTTTGATAGTGATAGACTATAGTCTATACAGAGTACTGTATATTAAAGGAAGTCGCATTTTATAAGGATTGCATTTCATATAAATTTGCATTCGTCTTGCATTTGTTTATTTCGACACCACGACGCAATTGAGTTGCGAAAACGTTTTCATTTTCAATCGAAGAAAATATATTCGACTCGGAGACGTATTTTGATCTCCCAGTCGAGTCGGGCAATATTTATTCGAGTACAAAGTACAAACGTCGCAAGTTTTGAACACGTTGATACATCTATACTCTTAATGCTCTTTAATTGTTGTCTTAGACGTATAGAAAGCTTTAATATGTGTCACTTGAGAAACCATGTCCATATCGATACGTGTCCGCTTCGGAAAAGCTTCAAAATCACTTTGACGATTCGAGCATATGGCTTTCGTTCGAACGTCGACGAAATGTTTTGAAAAAAAACTGAAAATCAGACGTCAAAGACAAAAGTGGTTTTCATTGACTGCGACAGACGCTGCTGAGACTGACGTTTAAGCAAGTTGTAAGATTGTAATTGTAGTACTCACCTTCGTGTAAAATGTAGATCGAATGCCAAGTGCCTTTGCTTTCTCTTTAGGTATATAATTTGGGATATAGAAGCGGATATTTCACAACTAGCGAAGACTTCCTTCTCTATAGTTGTCTTTAGGCTGTTGCGTTGCTGGTCACGGGATCAACCACAAAAGTATGTAGATTGAAATTTGAAACTGCATGTGTTTTGAGAGTTCACAGTACCCGGAATTCCAAGTAACGCGGTCTTTATGACGTATTGCGTGGGAGTTGTGTTTTCATAGGATCATTTTGGAGGGCGTTTTTCGTGGAATTTTACACTTCGCGATCGTTGCACTTAAAATTCTAGTGTGAATTTTTAATAAGGTCTATATTATCACAATAAGTTTGTAAATATTTATATTGTCGCAACTCAACTCTTTTTCTTCCCACTGACAATAACAATTCAGCAGAGTCTGTATCAAATCAATTTATATTATCAATATAGCATTGGTAAATTCTGAACGCTGATTGGCTAAGAGCCGTGTTGATATAACTCAATGTCAACACGGAAACGTCGGAAAATTTCTTTCTTTATATTTCTTTGTGCTATATTAGGCAAAAAAAATATGTGGGTTTCCCGACCCTACCCAGCTTTTGGACGTCGAAATTCCGACCCTAAACTTTTTTATTGGATCATGCTTGTAAGTGTTAACACTTAAAGGAAAAAGTTTGTGGAAAATTGAAATTTGAGGCAATATTAGGGAAATTTATCTTTGGACGTGGAAGCACTGACTAAACAAAATGTCGTCCGGTTGTTAGGAAAATTAAAAAAAAGTTAAAAAAAAAAAGTTAAAACCGACCTACCCTACCTAAGTATTTATAAGAAGAAACCGGAAACCCACATATTTTTTTGCCTTATAAAACAAATATAAAACATTTTTTTCCGTATTGATATACAGTTATATCAACACTCGTGGAAATTGGGAAAACTCGAAATTGTGTGAAAACACTCCGCCCTTCGGGCGTCGAGTTTCCACACAATTTCTCGTTTTCCCAATTTCCACTCGTGTTGATATAACTGTATATCAACACGGAAAATGTTTTATATTTGTTAAATATAGCATTTGTAAATTCTGAACTGGTTGGCTAAGAGCCGTGTTGATATAACTCAGCTGATGTCAACACGGAAACGTCGGGAAATTTCTTTCTCGTTTTCAAACTCTTAGTCTTACGGTTAGCGTTACGCCTACGGTTTCACATTTTTTCATACCGGCATCGTGTGAACGCAACCCTAAACGTAAGAATTTCGTTCCGTTTTCAAACTCTGCCGGTAGCGTGTGAACGGGGTCTAAGAATGGTAAAATGGCATACTACAAAAAAGTTATTTAATAACTAAAAATCCTTAAAACTTAAAAGACTTACAATCAGTCCCTACAAAATCTCTACAATTGTGCAAATTTGTGTTTGTTTATTAATAATATAAGTGAAAAATCTTGCAGCAGTTTTTATTGAATTATATTTAATATATTCTAATCAAACTGCTAAAGTTCAGTATTGCCCTGAGATCTCGAGCAGGCTAAGTTCAATATCAGTATTTCACTTGGCAGACTCTACAGCAATAATAATCACATATAGGATCACGCCACAAAGAATGGCGCCCCAAGCCAAATATCTTGCAGTTTGCGCAGACGTGAGCGCTCCAGAATAGTCGCCAGCCATGTGACGATTTCTTGCCTATAGAAAAAAGGAATAAATTAAACTTTTATTAACGTACCGCTCACTGAAAATGATGATGTGTCTTGATCAGGGCTGGAAAATGTCCGCGGCCACCATTCAGGAAGTTTTTAACAAAATGTGTTTGCAAGGAAATTTTCTTATGAGACCCCTGCCTGCCTGCCTGCCTGCCTGCCTGCCTGCCCGCCTGCCTGCCAAAATGATATCCCATTGTTTTAGAGCGGTGGTAGAAACAATCTACAATCCTGCATGGCAAAAAATATTGTGTACAGCGCGCACGGAAATACCTGTCTTTCCCAATACATACGTGCAAAAACAGCAATTTTTAACTTCCCCCTCCCCCCCCGTTCAATGTTGAAAGCTTATAGATTGGTTAGGTGAAAGCTTTGTGAAGTGCATGTCCAAACAAACATTGCGTGGCGAGGGGGGGGGGGGGGGGGGG